CCCCTTTACTAGTATAAAGCGAGGCTTCCGGGGTTATATTAATAGGTATATATAAGTACGGTATATATATATATATCTCGATACTAAGATATACTATCTAAGCTATAATCCTTTATATAGACGTAAAGTGTACGTATAGTTTTCACCACGTACCGTCTTGTACTACTTAAACCTTATAATTAATTCCCAAAGATCGTAGGAATCATGGAGATACCAACCTCCCCTTTCGTCCAAGGCTCTGCCGAGTCATCTGATCACACACGCATAGCGACAGTACACCGTTCGCCATGCGAAGTCGTACAGACAAGAAAAAACATTACCTGCCTACATCCCACACAAAACCACACCCTACCCACCTACCCACGCACCCACCCCTTAAGGTCCCACGACATCCTACAACGTGAGTCTATTCTACCCACCAAACTCTTGCTTTATCTTATCCGTCTTCGGGGTTTGGACAATCTCCGTGAACGGGTTGTTTTAAGCTCCTCATGTAGAATGCGTGGGTTGGAGGTGCTGCTCATTCTCACTTGCATTTCCATGTAACGCGTGCGGGTCGCGACCCCTCTTCTCACATACTACAAGAGCCAACATTGACGTAGGAGGGGTCGAAGGAACTCGTGTGGGAAGGGGTTCAGGAGGGGTTCCATCTCCCTTTGTGAGATGAGAATGTTGATCTAGAGCTCAGAGAGATCATGAGATAGCATGTTTAGGGAGGGGGTGAGGGGCAGCCGTGTACTGTGCAATGACTTACATACACACCATCTTGCATGCCTCAGCTGCTACGACGAGTGGATGACCTGATCGCGCATAGAAGAGGGTAGAACCATTTGACAATGGCTTTTACCGTCTTAGAGCGACACGTTGGCAATGTATGGAACGGGATCAAGGTTCTAATGCCGTATCACCAGACCCCTCCCGTGAGCAGAACAGAACAACACACAATTGAGAAAAAAAGAAAGAAAAAAGCGAGAAATAAAAGCCCCCCCTCCAGACGAAGAACTTGTAAAAGAATTGGTGACTGTCCCGTGATGAAGCTGATCAGGCTGAGGTCGGAACAAGGTATGAGTTGGCACTTTCTGTTTGATCCAAGGTGGTACGGCAGACTATGTCTACCGTTTCTGTGATGAAGTAATATGTTGCTGCTGTTGTTGCATGGTGTCTCGCGGTCGTGTAACGGCTTAGTTGGGATTTCCAAGTATTTTCTCTTCTGCATGCATTAGCTGTTGGAGACTCCCGATCAAGACCCATCTGCAAGTCGCCACTCAAAAAAAACTTGGCAATTGTTTGGATTCCAATTTAGCGAGTTATCAACTTCCAAATCCAGGGGAGCTCACGAGATAGGAAGGTGATTTTGAGTATCATGCGTCTAATTTGCAGGTAATAATTCTCCTCTTACCCGGTTGTTGTTAAGTGGCTTTACCAAATGATGTTTACAACCTGGTTTTCTGTTGAATAAAAATCCTTGAAAATAAGTTGGTTGTAGGTGGAGCTGACATGCAGGTATAATTTGATTGGTGGTCAAACTCATTCTGCAGGGACTGTTTCGGCCCTCAGGTGCCGTGCAATGATGATTGCTAGACGCTCTGATGATGTATATGGTACATACCCGAATACCACAAGATAATTCATTACTCATGTCGAGATCATTTGAAGAGTAAGATCTCACCTTCCGGTCGGAGTGAGTAAAGGGAAGCTTATCTGAGAATTCTGGTTTTGGTTTGACACACAACGCGGGTGACACAAGAGGTGAGACCCCTGAATACCCAAAATCCATGTATCCGGATTGGAACACCCTAAATCCCGTCTATTCGGATTTTTCCTGCTCGGTTGCAGAAGCCACGGGTTTGTGCCGGAGGATGGATTTTTCCCGAGTTTCCATTTCCAAGCTGCATCTCGCGAAGCTGGAAACATCAGAGGGACAATGAACCACGGATTCCCAAATTCTGGTAATGGCAATATCACAAGCCCTTTTTTCATGCTCATGTTTTTCCAGCGGACCTGTCATATCCTCGTACAATCGATGAAATAAAACAAGGGTCCATCAACGCACGCCTCCGCCTTGCAGCAGTTGATCCGGGGTTTGAATGCTGACTTCATTTAGCCATGAGCTCGACCGACAGCATACAGTGGGGGTGTGACAGATCGCGTGGGTGAACTGATGACGGTCAAGTACGCAACAAGTAACAACGGCGTGTAAAGCGGAAAACTGCGCCAATGCGGTAACTTTGCGTTGGCAAGAAAGTCGTACTCCCCTCAACTCCAAACTCCTTCGCTCATGTCCATAACGCCGACGAGCCGCATGCTCACCACGAAAACAAATTGATTGAATTTCCTCTCTGCTTGGCCCTTTTCGGGGTCGACCAAACTCTTGTCGAATCATGAAATCATCGTTGGGCCCTCGGGGAATTTGTCGGGAAGAGACAGAAAAGGGGATGGATCATGAATTTCAAGTTCCATCATTTACATGTCGTGCCCTATTTTCCGGGATCAGCAGCGGCTAGTAGCAGGAGGCATGTACGAGAGGAGATAAACAAGGCGCGGTGTAGGATGTCGCTCTTGGTTGGCATTTGAACCATAGTTGAGATAATCTGTGCCTCTAGCGAAGACGATTCAGAGCACCGCGGAGACCATAGAGCGGTGACCATAGAGCGGTGACCAAGTCTCAAAGTAGTATGTATGAGGGACCATTATGAGTAGAACCCCAAGAACAAGAGATCTTTTCCAGCATGACTGATGGTTGCAATAAACACAGCTACTTAAATAGGATATTGACTGCCGCTTCCCTTGTGCGGCGAGAAGGTGGTAGGTAGGCAAGCCTCGTGAAGCTGGCTGCACATACCATTGGTCGATGGCCAAGCGGATGAGCAATCGCTAGTGTAAAGAGGATGCAGAAGAATAGAGCAAAATTGAGCATCTTGTTGCTTCGCAGTTTGGTGGTAGGATGAGGGTGGCGAGCGTACTCGTAGGCACTAGCACTCTCAAGCTGACATCTCCCTGGTCCCCCAACTGCAATGGTTACATGATGAAGCGAAAAGGCGAAGATCATGATCACCGCGGCAGACGCCACAGAGTTGGATTGTTTCTTGGTGCAGTGAAACTGACCCTGCAAATTTATGTAAAGTGTGCATTGGCATTTACTGGTACACAAGAAGGGCTGAGAAAAGAAGATACTTCGAAGCAGAAGCACCTATACCCAGAATGAATGCTGGCTGCTCACTGCACTGCTCACAGACTTCTTCCGCCGCGATGGAAGGTGACGGGCGCTTGACACTCGGCTGGCAGCAGACATCGAGGCCCAACATGGCCAACGCCAGTTGCCAGTCGCCAGTCGCCCATTTCCCGGGACGCTTCTTCGTGGGGAGTCAATTTCCAGCGGCAGCGGTGTTACGAACGGGGGGATGGCGGGGACGGTTGCCAGATGAGGAACTAGAGGGACGTGGACACGCTGCTGCTGGTCACCAAATGTAGAAGTACAAAGTACGAAGTAATGTGTACGGAGGTGCGTGCTGGACATCATTTTGACCAGTCAATTTCTCTCCCCTCCCCTTCCCTCCCCTCTCTCTCCACATTATTCCAGGTTGTCCACATTGTTCACCAGGGCACATTATTATTCATGGCTCTCGCTTCTTCCGCGCCTTCCTGCTCAACACCTTCGCGATTTGTGCGGCACTGCGGGCTGGTATCGGGGGCTCGCACTCGTACCGTCCCGCACGGTGGAGTGGCCCAGGGCTGATTGAGGACATCTGCGAGGCATGAAGTAATTGACCCAGGGGGTCTGTTTGGACGGACAACGGCATGCTCTGGAAGGAGCAGTGCCAGTGGTCATCGTTGCTTTCCCGTGGCTGCTCGCTATACCTAAGCGAGAAGGGGGAAGGAAAAGGATTGGGTGTGAAAGGGGTCTGAGAGAACTAGAAAGCTACTTCGAAGTAGAGGAAAGCTACGCGTGGGTGATGTCGTGACTCGATTCAGCAAGTTGTGCGTGCTTGCTTTCTTAAATCATTTGTGCAAGTGGTGTTTAAGGCTCAGGAGATTCGAGAAGCAGAAACTGGGGCTTAACCCTGTCCATGTGAGCTTAAGTGAGCTTACCAGAGCTTAAGTCAGGTCTCGGGTGCAGCCTTTTACTGCGCAGAAAGTCAGGTTCGTCCACTGAAGGAGTCTCGCTTGTTGAGACCTCCGGAGAACACCAGGTCTCGTCTCGGGCAGAAGAGGAGTCTTCTTTTCTAGGGTAGTCTGCTAACCTCTAACCTCTAGCCTCTCGCCTGCGCGCCTGCTAGCCTGCTAAGCTGCAGGTAGTGGTGCTGAGCGGTGATGAGAGAGGTGGACAGCCAACGGAGCTCAGGGATGTAGCTTTGGGAGCTCACTGGGGGGTTCACTGGAGCTCGCCCGGAAGGACTCGATGGAAGGTTTTCACCTGCACGGCAAGGTTCACCTCCAGGGCAAACGTGGTCCTGGTCAAGGACGTACTGGGAAGTAATTCAGGGTCCAATACTAAGATTTGCCTGGTTACTTGGACGGCGACTGTATTGCAACTAAAATAGCCTACCGCCTCTCAGAGCAAACCAGGCCCTGGTTTTGCAGGGCCTGGTGCCTTCCTTTCTCCGGTCGCAGGCATCGGCAGGGCTCATTCTGGTTCTTTTACTGGAGTTCTATTGAGCAGTAACTGCGGTGATTGGTGCCGGCCGGGGTGAAACCTCAACAAGAGCGCGATAACCACACAATGCCAGAGCCGGGTCGTCTCTTTGCAGCGTCGCAGCCAGCCAGCCAGCCAGCCAGCAAGCCAGGCAGACAAACAAGCAGGCAGTCAGACTGACAAGTGCCGGCCGGCTCATGGAATGCTCTGAGCGCAAGACGCGGGCGCATTGTTGATGAGGCCTTCTGGAAATGACGGGCCTGTAAACTCGGTACGGAGGACGGGGAGTGGGAGTGGTTACTGACTGGTACGGATATAATGATAGTACAAGTATTAATTGGAACCGAGGGTGACCAAACTCTGCTCTGCTCTCTCTGTTTCCTCTTGGGTTCTGGCTTCGTTTCTCTCTGCTGTGCTCAAGTAACCGCCTACACCAAATATTCATCATCTACTACGTACTCGAGTACACCAAGTATCCCACACTGCCGCCATATACGACTGTACCTACACTACCTACACTACCTACACCACCCACACTACACTACACTATACGACCTCGCAACCCCCTTCCCTCCCCCTTCCCCTCATACCAACCCTGTCTCCCAAGTCAACTGCTGCCGTGTTGCTTGTATCTGCATCTCTGCAACACCACGTCGAGCCACGACGAACCTTACATAGAGCACCACTCGTTGACCCTCAATTCCACGCCTGGTGTGACGTCCTTGTCCGTGTAACAGGTCTATAGCGGTCTTCGTCTTCGTGCAAACCAGCATACACATCCACATACATTGTCTGCAAGTCGGCAAGTGTGAGAGTCTCGTACGAGGTTGCCAACAACCCCTCGGCCATATCTCAGATCATCCTGCAGCGCTCAACACAGCAGCCCTCTTCCCTTCAATCACCTACAAGAACACTCACACCACCTGGCCCATTGCGGTAGAGCTCAGCGAGGTTTGCTCATTGTCCGCCAGCCTGGTTGCAAGCTCTGCAAACTGCGGTACTCGTCTTCATTGGGGTCTGCACTCGACAGCTAGTCATTGACGGCTTTGGCTCTCCACCACCAGCACCGCCTGCATCGTCCCCCCGTTTCTGGTCCCCTCGTCCCTCGACCCCTCGACCCCTCGACCAGCCCTTGGAATAGACGACTACACTACCGCCTGCCGATAATACGATCCTCCCGCCGCCGGTCCTGTCCTGTTAAATTCACCGCTTCCCCCCATCTTCTTTTCAGTCGGAAGCGAGCCCATCCCACGCCCTCCGACCTACAACTCCTTCTTTCGTCACTTTGCGCCGCTTCCCCCAACTCGATCCTAGAGTTGATCAGGCTCAATTGTCCCAGAAGCAGCCCGACAGAAAGATACCGTGGACATGGGCATATAGCAACCACCTCTTCAACCCACATACACTTGCCGCCCACCCCATCTACCGGTATTCTCGACAAGGACTCAAGCTCCATCCAGCCACTACCCCAGATCAGCGTAAGATATCTCACTCCCCCATACTTGCCTATGCCATGCCATGCACCTCGCATCCTCTTCTCGTTTTTGACATTCCCTCTAGTTGAGTGTCTTTTGCCTAATTGAGCGGTCCTCCTTCACAAGACATTCGCTGCTGTTCGCCCATTGTCCTTCTGGTTTCCCGTCCCGGCAACATGTCGTTAACTCAGAACTACCCATACCCTCCTCCTCCGAGGTCCCTTGAGCATCGCAATCCCCTCCCAGAGGCTCAAGCCATGTCCTTACCACCGATGTCATCTTTGCTGCCAAGGCACGAGCGGATGGAACAACAATCGCCGTCGCATAATATTCCATACCCACCCAGATCGTTTCCACCACCTCCTGCTCCTCCCTCACTACAACAACCGACTCGTCCCTTATGGTTGGGTCCAGATCACGCCGCACCACCACCGCAGCCATTATACCAACATCCTCCACCTCCGCCACCCTGTAGAACCTCTTCGCACAGTAGCGGCGCCGGCTATCTGCAAGACCCTCCCCTTGTCGCTTCACCAACAGCGTCTCATCAAAACTACGCTCAGCATAACAGCACATCACCAATCTCCCAACACCACCAGCAGCAGGACTTGCGACGGAGTGTCTCCCCACAGCCAGTTGTAGTAGCGCCTGTCTTCTCGCCGAACCGTGCATCGTACAATTCGTATTTTCCACCTCCACCTCCATCGATTCATACCACCAGTAACCATCAATTGCACAATCGGCCGCCCTCGAGTAGTCCAACTTCCCACACTCCCACTTCAAATGCGATGCAGATATCGGGACTCCTAAGCAATGGTCCAAGGTACTTTCTCCCCAGTGTATTTTGCCTTGCTTCGAACTAACATGTTCCCCAGTACCCACCCTTCACGTCCACCACCGAAGCATATTATTCGTATGAGACAACAACCGCTTGCTGCGCGAGCTTGTGGCTTTGGCGAACGCGATCGTCGTGTGATCGATCCACCCCCAATTCTTCAGATGACAGTGGAAGACCCCAATGCCTCAGCAGAAGAGATGAAGGCATTGATACGCCAGCCCTGCGCCGTTGTCCATTGCACGTTATGGGATCCAGTTGCGAACAAGGACGATACAGCGATGCCAGGTACAACGGACAAGCGGCAGCAGCGGAGGTTGATGGGCACACTGGTCTCTTCGCCATTCGTGGGAAAGGATGAGCATGGCGTGGAAGGATGTTTTTTTACATTCCCTGATCTTTCGGTTCGAACGCCGGGGAAATACAGTCTTCGCTTTAGCCTTATGATCATCGATCCTAATCAAATGCGCTTGGGCCATTCTGTGCCAGTGAGCTCAGTGGTGTTCAGCGATACCTTTCACGTCTACAATGCCAAGGACTTTGGAGGAATGAGACCTAGTACCGCGTTGACAAAACAATTAAAGGGCCAGGGTTGCTTGATCAGCGTTAAAAAGGGGAATGCAAAGACCGGTGGGAACGCCAGAGACGAAGACGACGACGATGACGAAGAAGATGACGATGGGGATGATGAGAAGAAGCCTAGGAGAGCAGCGAAGAGGGTGAAGAGGTGATTCCCTGAATTCATCTCTTGTCAGCGATACTGAGATTGTCAAACCAAGACTAGCGACAAGACCTTACGGTCCGGTCAAGCTACAATTCAGCTATGAAAACGAGGAAATCCAAGGCTTCCCGATCCTACCCCCCAGTCGAAAGGTATCGAGAGGTTGGCACGGGTTTTTGTGCATCATATTCTTTTTATTCCTATGGACATTTTCGGTGCGTTTCATTCCGAATCTTTTCCAGCCTCACAGCTCGGCAAGTTTGGAGTCTGGGCTCCAGCATCACCGCAATTTTCAATTACAGATGGCAAGACCTTTGTAATTGTTCTTTTGCGCTTCTTTTGGGCGGTTGTCTTGTATATGCTATAGTTCTGATGACAGATTTTGTTCTTTTACGAGCAACTCAGATACCAATTTCTTTCCTCATATGCTCTTTCATTGGTATCATAAATTTGCAGGGGATTTCTACATATGCATTTGGTCTATCTTACCATGTTTTTTCGTTTGTTTTCTAGTCTTGTTTAATCTGCATCGTTTCGGTTTTGGTCTGTTTAGAAGGGGCATTTACATCTTGCACCCCTGTATTTCTTTGAACTCATTATCACGAATTAGAAGCTGGTATCTATTACCTTTTTGTCTTGCGGAGAAGGATATATCCATGGAGTTTTTTTTTTTTCCATTTTATATATATATTTGAGAATTCTCTCATTGTCTTGACCTAGATTTATACACCCGGGGTCGTTGCGTTACCTGGTTTTGGGGGTTGTCTGGCGTGGATACCAAAGGGGATATGGGGACGGGTGTCAAAAAAAGAGGTGTTTTTTTGAATTTTTAGATTCATCTAGGCTGGGCCGGGAAATTCTATATACAGATATATAATTATCTCGATATAAAAGGCAACGTTGTTTTTTGTTAAAGGAGAGAATATCTCTATACGTGCACCTTTCTCAATCTTTCCTCTTCAACCTCAATATTTCATTTTCGTAATCGTATTCCTTTCCAGATCCAGATCCAAATCCAAACCAACCTCAAACCAACATTTCAAATTTCAAAATTCAAACGGAGGTACGGATTTCTTCCGTACCGTACTATTACCTCCGCTGAGCCTCCATCCCCTCCCCTCCATGCCCCGCCCCTCCAAATCTACCTAACCTAGATAAAGAGCCTAACCTAGGTAAAGAGAGGGCCAGCCCAACCCAAGACCCCACTGACCCCTAAATCTCGCTTGCTCAACCCGCACCCTACGCGCTGCTGAACTACCGAGGTATCGGTAATGAGAATCCCTGAATCGAAGAGGGAAGAAAGTCAAAAAAAATCTGAAATAAGAGGTTTCTATCAGGCCATTGTATTGTTTGTTTTCTTTTCTCAGCCCTTTTTTTTTGCCGTAGCGTGTCGAATTTTGGCTAGGAGTTGGGACCCCGTGGGTAGGACCCGTAGTACTTCGTAGGAGGTTGGACCCCTACTCTACCCTACGATTTGCGAGGGAGCCTGGGAGGGGATTGATGAATTGATTGATTGATTGACGGATGGGCCGGCCGGCCGGTCGATCGTCAATTCAAAGAGATTTTATGATAGATGTTCTGATCGATCTACAGACTGCTCCGTACTCTACCCGAGATTTCTGGAGGTGAGAGATGATGGATGTTGATGGTGATGAGATCCGGTGGCCATGGGTGGGTGGGGATCGGGGACTTTTGTAGGGAGGGAGGTGAGGGAGGGACGGAGGTATGGAGGTTGTGGGTTGTGGATTGGATGGGGGGACGGGATAGGATGGGAAGGAGCATAGTCTAGATTTTTATTTTTTTATTTTTTNAGGTATGGAGGTTGTGGGTTGTGGATTGGATGGGGGGACGGGATAGGATGGGAAGGAGCATAGTCTAGATTTTTATTTTTTTATTTTTTATTTTTGTTTACGTTGTATTGCTGTTGCATTTGCATTTGCTTAGAGTACTGTACTGTACCCCCGGACTGGAAACGGGATGACGGATGACGAAACAGACGGTGAAGACTGGACTGGGGAGTCGGGTCGGGACCGGGAACTAGGCTAGGGGGTCGGGGGTCGGGGGTCTCAGGGTGATTTTTCGAAACCGGGAATTTACCCATGTTATGCCATGGAAAGAAGGACGGAAGGAAAGAAGGAAGGAAAGAAGGAAGGAAAGAAGGAAGGAAGACGCTCGAGCTGCGAATTTTGTTAGAGACATGGGATGATGGAATGGGTCTTGGGAGGTGTGAGTAAGTGAGTGGAAGTTGGGAGATTGATGGGGGTTGATGGAGATTGATGGGGGGAGGGAAGCGAGGGAGAGGGAGGGATGGGAGGAAGGGGAGGGATGGATGGTTGAGGGGAGGTTGATTAAGGGGGGAGGGGAGATGTACGAAGTACTTCGTCCCAGGCGCAATAAAATGTTAAAGTTAACGAGCGTGCTTACCCTGTATTCCACTGAAAAATAACATTTATTATGTCTGGGACGAAGTAGAAGGACTTTCTCCTAGTCGAGTCTGCACTTGCGCTTGATCTCTCGGTTCGGTCTTGCGATATGTAGATACCCATTTGTCGACTTGTGGTGGTATTATTGTATTGTGTTGTAGAAGTACTTCGTTCTAAGTATAAGGGAGGTCGCGTTTTCGTTTTGTGAGATGGAAAGTAGAATGTCCTGGGTATGAATGCTGAAGTTTTATGTTGTTGTGCTTGAGACGATGTAGATATATTTTGAAGTATGTAAAGATGCAGAGGTATGGAGGTATAGAGGCTTTGTAATGATATGGATGGGATGTGATGGGATGAGATGGGGGCAACGTGGTAGCACCTCTAATCAAATACTCAACTCGACTCGGGTACTAATCGAGTTAAGTTAAATAATTATAATTAGGTGATTCCGTAAAGTTGAGTTGAGTAGTAGATTTAACTATCTGAGTAGTACTCGAGTAGTTAGATATCTCCTCGACGGTTCGGTGTAAATCTGAAGTAGGTCAAGGACGTGCCAACCTAGGTAGAAAAACAATATATAGATTCGTACTAAGGTTTGCAACGTCTACTAATACAAATAACAGCTTTGTCTAAGTTCTTTACCTAATCCTACCTTATTAAGATTTAGTATATGTTTGTATATAATTTAAAGAGAAGTACTTCTATTTTAACGATTAAACAGACCTATTAGAATTATATAGTCACGTTCTAGTCCTGTGACTATATATACAATTGATAGCTTGGCATTGACAAGGTGTCAGAATTGACCTGAAATTATACGTTAAACAAATCTACGCGAGGGTGCTTAATCCTGGTCAGGGTTTCCGCCGAACCGTCGAGGAGATAACGTAACTATAATATAAGAAACTCCTATCAGGTTGTCCCTCAAACAGTCACGTAATAGTATATATATAATGTAGGGGCACTCGGTTACGTACAAATGCATACTCGTAGACCGATTGCCTAGAGTCCTGCTAGCGAGGCCAGGCGCGCTACGGGCTCTCGGGCCGACACTACTCGAGTTACTTATGAGTTAATCGAGTACCTGGCGAGTTGAGTTGAATGGCGATTTCACTACTCAAGTCGAGTTGAGTTGATTAGGTGCTACTACTCAACTCAACTACTCGAATTTACCACGCTGGATGGGGGTTCATGAGTTTTTTCCCTTTTATTTTTCTTTTGCTGTGAATGGATATGGGGGTTTCGGTGGTGTGGAAGGGAGGAGGGATTGGGTAAGCTGGAATCTTTTTCGAGTCTGTTTTTGGTAGTAGGTTTGGATTGGATAGTTAGGTGGATGGTGGGTGTGGATCAGAGCTGTGAGGTGAAAGGTGAAAGGTAAGAGGTGAGAGAGGTGTGGAAGGGGGGTGTGAGTATGAGGGTGGGGCTGTGAAGGGTGCTTAGAGGGCGCGGAACTCACAAAGGAGTCTAGGGAGTGGAATTCACAATAGGGTTTAGGGAGTGGGATGGAGAGATTTTCGGGAGGGGAGGATCTCGAGTTTGGTTTTAGTTTCAAGACATATCTCTATATAATATTGCTGTATTGGGGGGTGGTAGGTTGGTTTGTTTACTATTTTTCCAAATTATAAATAAGTACTATATAATCAATCGTCTCTAAAGTATGTGGGACGACAATTGATAGGGCACAAGTTGGCAAATACCTATCAATCTTGGGATTACTTAGAGACTCGCTCTCTACGGGTCCTTAGCTAGAAAACCTTGACCACAACCTTCACGCAGGAGAAGAACTTAAAGAAGGCTTTCGTAGACTTCTAACTACTTACAATTTGCGGACGACACTGTGTGCCATCCATTGTTGTCCTACCCACATGCCTTAGAGACAATTTGATACGATAGTTGGGGACTTTCGGGCGCGTGAAACTATGTGAGGTGGAATGGATTGGGTGGGTGGGGTTTTATTTCATAATCATTTTGTTCTTGATAATGTTTTTTTTTGGAACAATTTTTATTATATCTGTATTTTTCTTAACTTAATTAAATCCAACCCCTTCATTTCCTTTCGACTTTCCTGGCCCTTATAGACTGCCGCAAATCCCAATTACTGATCCTCTATAAACGCCTTGCCAGATCCGAACTCCCAATTATGGAACAGGCATAGCGAGTGAGGTCATGATCAAAAGTCATGTCTTTGAGTGCTGAGCTTATCCTTTCAGAACATTTCTGTTCAAACGACGCTAATAAATTCCGTTTCCAAGGGATGTCGCTGCGCTGCCGGCTCTCTCTGGCTCAAACTCCAGCTCGCGAGCAGCTTCGTTCCTTTGACTACCGCTCTACGGAGAAGGGCAGTGTCATTCCCATGTACTTCTCTTGCGAAACAAAACTCTTTATCTTTTTGTATAGATAGGAGAGCTTCTGGAGAGGGCTTTTTTGGGTTCGGCTGTCTTGAATTATTTGCAAGATCTTGCATGCATAAGTTGGAAGTCGAATCTGTCGTATGCAAGTCCATAACCACCAAATCCCTTCTTCTATTTTCACTGATAAAATGCGGGTTTTACATGAGGCGGAGGAGGCCGCTTTTGGGGTTTTGAACCAGACCTAGGTTTGACTTTTGCGGCTTCCCAACAGGTATATCTTCAAGTCTTGTCCTACCAGACCTTGAGAGAGATTTTTCTTCAAACGATCTATCGCCTGACGCTCACTCACCACGTCGTTGCCATTGAGAAGCTGCAACGGTCCATTTGGAGCGCTGGATTGGCGACCCAACATCGCGTCCAAGTTTGCCTTTATACGCGCAGTCTCTAGGCGTTGGGCCTCCGCCTCAGCGTCGTGAAGCGGTCTATCGAATCATGTGGCTTCCGAGGTTGACTTGCCGAATCTTTGATCGAGAACATTTCGGAGACGTTCAATTTCTGCCTCGTCGGCCGCTGGGTTCTTATCCAATTTGAATTTTCCAAAGAGGCTGAATGATCCTCCTCTCTTTTGAAAAGATCTCCGACCCAGCTTCGCTTGAGGGTCTGCCGGGGCGGCAGACGGCGGCCTCTTTGCGGATGAAGCTGGTCTTTTGTCCGAATAAATTATGCTGTCCATGGCTTTCCTGATACGTGCCATGTCTGCTAATTCCTCTGCTGAATAGGCGGGCGGATTTATCATATCAATTGTTGGTCCCTTTGGCTTTGGCTTCTTTTTCCCAAAGAGTTTGGAGATTGGGCCACCTCTCTTTGAGAGAGGGGGGTCTCGTGAGGTTTCTATTACTATTGTTGGGGGTGCTGTTCTTGCTGAGAGCTGGGAGAGGATCTCGTCGTTTGCTGTGAGAGGATAACCCGCGACCAAGGTAGAGAGAACTACCGTGGCGGCACAAATGTTGGGAAACAACATTGTCGAATTGGCTGTGGGGATCAAAAGTCAAAAGGAGATAGCGGAACGTTAAGAAAGGGGGGATAAGTAAAATGTTGGTAGGCAGATCAAATGGAGTAACGTTACGAATGTGATATGGAGAATAAGAAACAAAATCGAAAAAAGAGGCCGAAGAGAGATGAAGGAAACGACAGAAAGAGGTGGGGGAGGGAAAAGATGAGAGAACTGGAAGTATCAGGAAGGAACTTCCTTCTTATACTAAAGCAAATTTCCTTGCCAGAATAAGATAGTACCGAAAGCTTCTAATCTTAGCTAGATTAGATCTACGGTCGGTAGCTGACTCTTCACACGAGGGCCATTCTGGCGAATCAACGGCATTGGAGTTCCTCGCCTAAGGGCCTGTTTGAATCGAAGTAAAATTGAGTAATATTCAGGGTTCACCATACAAGTTAGAGTTTTGTACTCGATACGAGTAATGCCTCGTATCGAATCAACAAATCGTTTGGCTTGTTCGAAGGATATTTATAAAATACTACTCTGAATCAAGAGATCTAGCTTTATTCGGAATATCCCGTACAAAAGGTGAATACAGCTCAGGACCCGTATTTGCGTATACTAGAATTGAGGACAACCAGTTGTTACGACAAAATACCCGACTTTCCGACCACTTCGACACTTCCACCACAATACCGCAACAATAACAATACTTAATAGTTACTTTAATAGACAAAAAGATGCGCCTGAATTAGCTGAACAAATTGCACTTACTAGTTTTATTTTATTTAAATTATATAAAATGTAGGGCTTACATTTGTCGAATCTTGGCGTTCCGGCCAATTTTTTAAGAGGCCCCACTTTTCTTACTACAGGTTAACTAAGCACTATATAGAAATTCTAATAAGTGCATTCTTTTTGTTTTAGATTAATTAGTATATAAGCTTATTAAAAACTAAGGCTTAGCTATTAGAATAACTAGTTCTCTACGATCAAATATAATAGTACTAATTTTAGTATAGTTTATTTTTGTGCGATAAGGCCGATGCGAGGCTTATACGAGGCTGCTACGCGAGCTTTTCCGAAGGACCGAAAAAGTCGTCTATATTCTAAGAATTTAATTAATAACTTATTATAACCACACTTTATAATTATATTTGAGAAGGGAATAGATACGCCTTAGCTAGACAAACAAAACGCACTTACTAGCTTTAATTAACAAAAATTATATAAAAAATGGGGCTCAAATATAGTAAAAGCCTTAGCGCGGCTAATTTGTCACGAATCACGTGTAAGCATGTGATGAGTGAAGACCAGGCGGCGCCCTGACAGGTTGAGCACTATCATATCTCTTATAGTAAATAGGGATGCTTAGGCTAGCTAAGCGATCCAGGGATTTCATTACATTGTAATCACGTGACCATTTGCATCGCCAGTATCGACAACAGGCGATGTAGGCGATGGCAGAACATGAAGGTTCTATATAAGACTGGCACGTCTGCCATTAGATAGGAGCTTCGTGCTCAACTTAGTTTACACAGTTATCAATACCTTTTGACTTTGACGACTTTGTACAAGTGACGAGTTTGCTTCCAAGCAAACACACAGTGATATATTGTCTTCTCTCTTCGCATACCAACCTTCGAACTCGATACCTTCAGTTAGATACCGGTTTCGTCACACTATTTTTATTTAATTTTTCCGACCCCTACATACTTTTATTCTTAGTTAAGGCTTATATAAAAATTCTAGTAAGTACATTCTTATTCTTTTAATCTAATTACTCTATTTAACTAATAAAAATATAGTTTGTATCGCTAATCTAAATAGTTTTCTAACTAAGGTCGAAAAGTCGGGGTTTTTATCGTTATAACTAGGTGTCCTCAATTGTATTCGCTTATTCCACCTAACGTAAACACTACTATATTATCCACCACTTCTTATATATAAACCTTTATATATATCTATTATGAAATCCCTTCTTCAAAGACGCCGTACGCGCGATAGGAAGGTTAAAACCATAGCAATGATAGCTATATCTAGTGTATTCGTTATGTCTTTATACTACTAGAATCCCTTTAATAGATAATCCTATGCAAACGATATTTGGATCGAACATGACTCCGGGTTATATTCAATAATTATTCAAAGTTATTCAGAGTTTTGTGAAAACAAGCGTACGCTACCGAATCAACTTAAAGGGGGTGGACAGCCAAGAGTGCACCATGTCACGTAGATCATATCAAAACCCACTATATAAGGGGCCTTTTCATAGCTTTTATACTGTTTCTTGGACAGTTTTTTCTTACTAAGCAGTCCGATTGCGCGTTCTATTGGCTAAACCCTATGTTTTTAGCCAAGTTACGTCGTATAATAGTGGACCTATAGTAAAGTGTCGATCTTATTACTCTAACAGGGTGTGACTCTTAGCTGTCCACCCCCTTTAAATTTATTATTCCGAGCCAAACAAGCCCTAATAGACTTTCAACACTCCCGCGCCTAAAAAAGACCCACGAGTCACTGGTTCTAATTAAAACAATTTTAAAACAATTGCTCTTGGGCATACTAAATTGTGCATAAATCATTAATTCAAAGTGGCATATTTACTCGGCCTTTACTTTCCTCTTTATCTTGTAGGGCGTGGCGGAAATGTTACCTCACGGAAGTGACAAGACTTCACCTAGGGACATGTTAGGAGAAGGTCTGAAGAAGGGGTGAAAACCAAGCGATTTTGGCGTCAAAGGCGGAGAATTAGTACACCAACCAAGTATTGAGATTCAAATCTCGAAGATGGAAATACAGCTCCCAAGTGTTGCATGAAAATCTTTACAAGCCTTGTTGCCCAAGTAGCCCAGAATACGAGATCAGCCGCTCGGTGAGGCACAGCAAATAAAGCAGCGTATCTTACATGGTTAGCGAGATGGCCACAGTGTGAGCGCTCTTTTGCTACCACAAGTGCCTGTTAAATTTAGTTTTCTGCGTCCCAAAGCTGGCCATGGAGACCCTACCCGTTTCCCCACGAAACTATCAAGGCTATGAGTTACGAAGATGGTTGGTCTCTTTTTCGCAGAAGACGATTGTCGTTCATTATCTAACCGGTTAATCAAGTCAGTGGCGGAATCGTCAGTGTCGGCTACTGGTTTTCTGATGCAAGATATTGACCATGGCCTTCATATACATAGGAGCTTGTATCAAGTATGCGCGAAAAGAATTCCTGAATTGTAGTATTATATGCTTAGATTAACGAGGCTAATCAGGAGGTTGTATTCAACCAGTGCTGGTTTTCAAGGGCGAGGTCAACTCAAAGGCATTCCAAATGCGACACGAGATCAAGCACAACCAAGTCACAAGCAACCCGAGATCAGAAGCTCATCCATCGTATTCACTATTTACCCAGCCACGGTAGCGCAGGGCGACAAGCGCGCCCGCAAACCTCCAAATGGCGCACGGACCACTTCGACAATCGTTTTGCGAGAAACCTCAATTCATCGTTGTAACCCATTGAAGAAGTTGTGAAATACACTTCACAACAGCACACTTTAATAAAACTCTTAGTGCTGCCCAGAGCATCTTTAGATACATCAACTCTACATCTCTACCCAAAAAAATCCTTGTGTCGCTACGGTGGTTCCTTCCAGAAATGGCTGCGAACATTTTTTACCCAAATGTTGATGCCAACTGCGACATGCAACAAAACTCTTGAACCCCTGTAAAAGCACGTGCATCCCTATATTTCCATTGGCTGCAACCACGACAGGGGTCCCGAAATGCCAAGGCGAGACATCAATCCTTCGATAGGTGGGAATCATCACTACAAGAGGTTGGAAGGAATTACAATGTTGTGGTGCACAACACAACGAATTTCATAATACACTAGATTCTTGCACGCGCTTGGGATGGGGGTATATTATCGAGATATAACAAAATATTGGTGGATAATTAAGGGTGGTGGTGTGGGAAGTTGGATGGTAGTTTTTTGAAGAACTATTGTAGAATGTACGAGGAATTTGGGGATATGGATGGGAGGCGGTAGGCGTCTAGGGGCAAGCGCGCGCTTATGGCGCGGGTGAATTAACGAGGGTGCGAGAGGAGAGTGTCGTCATTCACTGGAGGTCAAGTTTCCTTGAACATATTGACGTACTTTTGGTAGGACAGCTGTCAATGCTACATTGTCCCGTACCACCACAATTTCAGGCTTGGATTCGCTATCTCAGGAAGGAAAAGACTTGCTCTCAATCTACTGCGACTTATCCAAACACCCCTCAGGTTTTCGTGTGCATATATATTGGAGGGTTCACTGCGAAGGAAGGTGGCTTCCAGAATGAGATATTGCATTAATATATAACGCAATGTCCGCACTATTCCATATGGATCCAAAAAGCAAGTACAATAGTAGAGATCGCACTGTACTGAAACGCGAAAAGACCAACGTAGATTTCTTCGAAGCTTGAAAATTCGACATGGGAGTTTTCAAGCAAGACCCAAGTCGGAATCTCGCCCCAAACAATCAGCCATATTCTCTATAAACAGTTCCAATCTTTTGTTCCTCTTCTGAGTCCCGCGAATTGTCTCACTCGAGGGTGCACAACGTATCGAAGGAGTCGCAAGGTTTTGTTTGGCACATACACTCATATATCGCCAACTTCGCGGGTAGATTAAACTGTTGGAATCATTGACGGTGTAAGGAGTAGTAGTGTCTGATGATTTATCTTTCTACTACTGCCGCATGTTTATTGTTGGGGTACATTCACTATGAAAGGAATCACGGGATCAAACATTAAGCACACACTAGCTGATACCTGTATTGTGCTATACCAGAGCATTCTGGGAAGTCCTATCCAAACAGGGAATAGAGTAGGAATATCTCTGATCCAATATCCATGATACAACGTAAGCCAAAAGAAGCGAATTGAGTATTTCAATGCTTGAGTAATAGAAGCAATTGTACATCTACTTGTCTAAAGTTCTGGAATGATTGGGTACCTACTAAGTGCCTTGAAATTACAGTCGCAAATCTTAGTATCCACTGTGATGCTACATGTCGTATCTTACTTCGAATTCACGCAGCGCTGTACTTGCAACTCTGGATGAGTGATATATAATTCCAACCACTGTCGAACCTAACAAAAACGGCAGAGGAGTAAAAAAGAAAAAAATAACATCGCCCTTCAATATCGAGAAAATAAAAATAGCAGAGCAGAAATCCCACCAAGAATCCAAATCACAAAGCACAAACGATATTTCTGCTCGCTAACTCTCTACTCATCTACCCAAAAACAACCCATCCAACTCGCTCATCCCCTCCATCCAACCAACACCTCATAATACCAATACTTGCCTTCCTCCCTCTAACCCAGCAACTCACTACATTGTCTCCTCCTTAAACCTCCCCATCCGCTCAGGAACAACATAAGGCCTCGGCGGCCTCTCCCTTGCCTGTATAAAGCTCTCAGTAGGCGGTTTCATGCCCCCCATCGCATGCGTAACAGCCGTCACTTTCTTATCCGCCGCGAGCAAACTCTCAGTTGGTGCTCTACTTTTGGGAGTCAAAAGGCGTTGGTGGAAGGGGTCGGTCCTTGGTGGGGTGGATGGTTGAGGTGGTGATGGTGATAGTAACGAGGGGGATGAAGGTTCCTGTCTTAGGGGCTCAGGAGGGGGACGAATATTTCTTGGTGAGAATGATGGAGAAGGTGATGGAAGAGGACGTGTGATATTTCGCATTGGTGAACGTGGTGGTGGGGTTGGTCGGAGGGGAGTAGGGAGGACGTCGAGGTGTTTTGCTATGCCTGGAGAGGGGGCAGAATGTGAAAGTGCATATGCATGTGAAGTTCCTAGTTCATCGTCTCTCTCCACGGATTGTGGTTGTGGGACGTTCCTCCAAGACTCGAATTGCGTATCGTGATGCTGCGAGAACCCAGAGAGAGCATCGCGTCCGAAAGACCTTTCTGTGTTCTCCTCGTCATCCCCGTTCCTGTCGGCCGTCTTTGGGCGCTCGATGATTTCACCGGGCTGATATAGCATTGAATGATTCTCTTCCAATGAGTGTCTCGTGTCCTCTGGACTCGAAATCTGGAATCGGGGTTCAGTAACTTGTTCCTCTGCAGAACGTCGTTGACCTTTGACAGCGGGTCGTTGGCCCACACGATGGAGTTTGTTCAACCTCTCCTGTGCCAATATAAAAGCCTGCTCCTCAGAAATACTTATAGAACGTTCGCCATCTACAGGACTATGATGATGCGTGACATGTTCTGGTCTGATATTCTGCACATGACGGAAATTGGTTGGTGGACCGGGTGTTATTCCGGTATTTGTTCGTTTTGGTTCTTTCTGTTGGCTTCTGGGGAAAGTATTTGATTTTTTTACTTTCTTTTGTTGGTCTTTGGCGAGCATACGAGTTAAGAGAGAGCCTTTCTGGTCGGGTTTCGTATCTGAGTTTTGGCGGGAGCGGGCTGATTTTGGACTGCGGGACAGTGATGCAGTTGAAGATTTTCCTTCAGGAATGGCTCCCAAAACCTTTGCTGCTTTTGGTGGTATGGTACTTGAGAGTACGAAGGGGGATTTGGGAGTGATTGGTGTACTTGAAGAGCTTGCGGTGGGCGAGCCTTGAATTATCGCTTGGTGGGGTGTTGCAGAAACGGGGTTATTTTGCACCTGAACCCTCTTCTTCACCAGGACTCTGGGCATTTCCTTTGCACCCTTTCGGTCATCAGCAGCTTGAGTAATCAACTTAGACCATGTTGTTTGATTGCTCATAAACGTATCTCTGTCGTCGCGTCTCGCCGTCGCTTCCCGGGTCGTCATACCCAATTTCTCAATCAAGATATCGGTATCGAGGTCTCCATCCACTGACAGATGTGGGATTTCAGCTCTTGTTTGCTCCTCTGAATTAATTCGCACATTCGCCGCATTATTGCATTCCTCATTTTCGCTCTCTTCGTCTGCCCAGGGATGCGCTTGCAGAAGCTCCGTGTACTCCCTCGCCCTTACCGAAGAACATATATTCCTCCCATCAATAGGCTCATCATCATTCCTCGTGCTCTGAAAACTGGAACTAAGGTGGCTAAAATCGCGACTGTCGTCTCCCCCATACTCACTCAACTTCGAGTCGATACGTGAAACCGGTGAAATCTCGCCATGCTCCCCGGAAGACCGGCCATCACTCCAAGGGCTTTCTAGCTTTGCTTTCGTTGGTGTACCAGTTTTCGTTCGCGGGTGCATGGATCCAGGTATAGGGATAGGCGAAAGTGGTGAAAGGTCACCAGTTTCCTCGACAGAAGACGGTTCATCACTCCGAGCTTCCTCAAGCTTTGCTTTCGCTCCAACATGGCTTTCCGTGTCCGTTTGGGTGGTGTTTGGCATAGATATCGAGATAGATGCCCTGGCAGCAGCAGCAAGTTCCCTTCCAATATGACTTTCCTCTTCCCTACTCCCACGTCTGCTCCACGTGAAACTACTCTTCCTCGACGCCTCACCTTCTCCAGACACCTTCAACTCCTTCCTTTCCTTGTCACTCCCTTTCCGAAAAAGTTTGTTGAACATGGCTCGTTTCCCTTTCTTAGTAGACTCAGCAATAGAAGCAGAAAAAGAAGGTAGACTGCGATCAGGAAGTGTGGTTTGACTTGAGATACTACTCCTAAAGACGCCTGACCCCTCGGGTGCCATGACTGTGATCTCCGGCGTCATCGTCTCGTCTTTGGGATTTTTGCCCGTGGGTATTTTTTTGAGACGAGGACCACGGCACTTCGGACATAGAGAGTGCTCGAATTGTTTGGGGTAGTTTTTCTCGCACTTCCCAGATTTCGATTCGTAGACCGGACAGCGATCTTTGGAAGTGCTTTTGTGAGAACAGCGTATGTGCGTTGTTGTAATGTAGTTACACATGTCGGTAGAGAGGTAAGGATAGAAGAGGTATCTATGGATAATTAGGATGGAAGGGGTATCTGATAGGATGCTATAGATATATGATGTGAAGGTGAATTGCGATCGTGAATGGCGGGGATATAGAAACCAGTTTTTCGGAATCACGATAACAATAATGCCACCTCAATTACTTATTTATTGTCAGCTTTCCTGAGTGAATGGGGAAGTATTACTTGATAGCAATTCCTATCTTATGATATTATTGTGTGACTCTATCTGCGGTTCATATAAGATACCGTGTATCCTGATGCCATATGCAATTCGAGAAAATAGCAAGAAATGCAATCAGTTTATACTGGAACTCTCACCTTAGAACCAGCAGACTCATCTTTAATTTTCCAACCAAATCGTAATCGGAAAAGGAATGAGAAGCCCGCCGCCATCATGTTCAACCAGACGATTCTTGCCCAGGTCGAAACTGGCACGTGGATGTCGTCACCTTGGTAACTATCACAGACTTCCAAATACTTCTTAGGGTCATCTGTAATTACACCATCTACCTCCTTTCTGATGCTCCATTTCATCCACCGTTCCTCGTTGACTGTCCAGAGAAGGATTGATCGCTTGGCTGCTTTGATATCTCGAAGTAGGGCGCTTCCACGAGGACCAACCATAATCATTTGCAACATGTTGAAACCTATTCCAGGAACTTTGAGAAATTGGCGGGCGTACGATATGTTGAAACCAATGTGAGTAATGGGGTAGCCGGGAAGATATTTTGTGCACAGAGGAAGGTATCTTGCCTGCTACCAGTTAGCTCAAATTCTGGGAACAGCAGTCTCGCAAACAAAACGAAAAAGGTGCGACAAATTCTCCATTATCATAACTTGGTGAGATAGTTTAAATTGTTCCAATAGTTCGGAAGAAGTAATTGATCGAGATAATTATTTGAACGTGTAAAAGAATTAAGTCAATGATTCAAAAGGATATAGATAACGAGCCTCGGGTACCCGAAAGGTCAGAATAATATGAGAGCCTTTTACCGCAACTCTCAATCTCATCGCAGAATAATGAGAAGGAAGTAACTTACCGCCCAACAACCGAGAAGGACCCGTTCATTCCACGGTCGTGAAGATTTGACTTCCTCAAGCGCAGCCGCCATGCATCGAAAGACATTTTCAGCGTGGTTGTCATGCTCCTCCCAATTGATTCTTTTGCGTTGAAGTACGGTTGATGGTGGCGAAATTTTAATATCGAGCAAAACCCATACGTTTTCCAATCCAGGTTTCGCCAAGTATGTTAGCCTATACATTGGTTAGACGATGGTTTTTGCCAAAGAGAATAAAGATGGGTAACGTACAGGTCCTTGAGTCGCGGCATTGGCTGATGTGGTTCTTTGAGTGTTTGCAGTGTTTTAATATACTCCCAGTCGCAGTCAATGATCTTGTCATCCTTGCCAAAGCATCTCTTAAGGTCAGGATCCTAAAAATTGGGTCAATTGATACGTCTCAAAAAATGAATCAGGAGAGCTAACGTGACTCAAAACCGCTACTCCACCCTTAGTGATGTGGATGTCAGTCTCAACCGCATGGGCTCCTGTGTATACCTGTCAGCATTACGCTTTGCCATATGATCTGTGCGAACTGGAAAAAACTTGCCTATCTCAATTGCTCCAATGAAAGCGCCCATGGTGTTTTCTGGGTAAGCAGCTTTATAACCTCGGTGCGCAATAGCTTGGGGTCGTTTTCCTGCTGAGGATTGGACTGCGCCAGCAAACGAGGCAGCTAGGACAAAGTCAGTTAACTGGCAATGGCTCTATCCAAGCGCGCGCAACTGACCCAATGGAAGATCCATCTTTGCTTGTGGTGAGTGATAACTCTCTGGTATCAAGAAATCATTGGCGGTCTTCCTAGCGAAGGGAGTTTCGTTGAAATCAGATGGTTGATATTCAAGGGTTGCGTGCTCAATTGAACTATCTCCGAGCTCAATTGGAGGGGCAACACTTGACTAGAAATTGCAATCCAATAATCCCCTTGGGCTGGCTATTGAAGACAATGGAAGATCGATCTGGGAGATGTTTGTGACCCCTTGGATTGGGCAGTGAATTCAAGAAAGAATAGTAATCGGCTTGAATAGTCTGGCACACCAACACCTGATGAGATGCGCTGGATTACTGTATGATCTGCCACAGAGAGGATGTTTAGTGGGGAAGAGACGCGTTCTGGATAAGGTTCAGGCAAAGTAACAGGGATACGATCGGGGCAGGATCGGAGTTGTTTACGCAAAGCACCGACCACATCCCAAACAAAGCAAGCGATAACCCTGAAAGATTTGCAGCGTCAGTGCAAGCAGGAAACACAACACCATCCACAGGCAGCAAGACAGTACCTGGGTACAGTGGTGACTTGATTTCCAATGCATCTGTGGATATGAATATGCTGTGCACACAAGCCAACAATTCGACTCCGAAGATTCGGTCAGGAAAATCGCACAAATTCCTCGGAATCCCGTTATCCTCTTTTTGATGTCACTATCACCCGGGTCAGCATCATCCGGAGCGGGTGGCAGTCGTACTGCCGTAAGCAGCACTACTGTAGCTACCTGTGCTAATTACTCGAGCAGTACAAGTGAGGTTAAGTCTGAATACTCCTCTCGGTAATCTCCCGTAATTGATGGCTTAGCCGTTGACTAATGTGCTTTAATGTCCAGAGCAGTTGGATGAGACATCCAAAGAAGCATGCAAAGCACAACGTTGATGAGACGTGTGAATCGAGAAGATATTGCTTAAAACAGTAGTTGACAACAACCTTCTCGATTCAGGTCCAAAACAAAAAAGAAGCTCAACGACATTTACTACTCCGAAATCGAAGAAGAAGGAGTCCTGCCGTCGCCACAATGTCATGGTTCTTGCTATCATCATACAAAGTTGGAATTCCCTCGTTGAAAGGCAAGAATGCACGATGAGTACCAGAGGCCTGATTCTAGGTTGCTCTGTCAACTCTGTCAATGCGGATCTGGAAGTCGAGAAGTTTCAAGTCCAGGACTATAGTGTTGCCAGGATGCCATGGAAGCATCCATCCTACAGTAAATTTCACTCAGCGGTTCTTGCATTCCATATCATCACTCACAATTTTTCTATTCTGCCATTATTCAAGTGTATAGCAGTGGCATCATCTTCCTGAGCAGTTGTCAAGATAATACCAACTGATAGCAAGAAAACGCCTCCCTGTGTGTAAGGATGCGCGATGAATAATGTTTGCAGATCATCCGTCTCAGCGAGAAAATCGTAAATAGAGTCTTATATCGAACGAGTCTAAAGACCTGTAAAGGTTTTTATCTCCGTGAGATAGAGAACAACTCTAGTAGTAGATATCCACAAAAGAGGGAGGCATCTATCAGCACATCCTTCAGCTGAATGTACTGAACAGAGGCGGTAGTTGCTCACAAACGAAGGAGAAGCCTTTCATCGATCCTCAATGCGAAAGGATTAAATGGTGTACTGTTACTTTTTGTACATTTTCTTTCACATGGTCAGCTCTCATATGTCTGGCTCTTTTTCCTTCACCAGTTTGAGTCTTGATAACAAGCATCCATGCAGGGCTTATTCTCCGCCTTGGAGTAGACAAGAAATGCAGCAGTGAATAACTAGCACTCGTTTGTCAAATCGTTCTGAAGTTTTGGACGAATCGCAAGACTACTAGCCATTTTCCGCCACATTTCTTGTAAGGGACATGGATGGTCATTGCTCGGTGGACATCTCAAGAGCTCATTGTGCTAGAAGTCCTACACAATGAACTTTGTTATCCCAAATTGGGATGGTCAAGAGTAATCAAAGCCAATCCCAAATCGCTCATGTAAAAATGATGTTTGTGTGAGTCTCTCCCGTACTCTGTTCTCAGAGGGTGCGCGGGGACGAACAATGTCGAGGTCTTCTATGGCGCAAGTTCGTCCTCGTCAGGAAGATCAGATGGGAAGGCCCGTATCGCGCTGGGATGTCGACGAGATGTATTTGCAAACTAGCCCTTGTCACATTGAAGCTGAAAGGATACATGTTCAGACCCAAGGAGAAGTTTCGAAATTTCATTGTTGGGCAACGATGTTTGGAGATGTCTATTCGCAGAACGACGGAGCTTTTGACGGCGTTGTACCAAGCCTTTGGCAGAAACTTGGTAAGAAGTGAGATAGCACAAGACTCCATTGAGGATGGGCACGTCTTTTGGGGTCTGGATATCATATAGCCTCTTGATCATGGGTGCACGAATCCCACGAGGCTAAGGGCCATGGAACGGAGACGATAGGTCTACAATGGCATTGTTAGCAGAGTACGAGTACAGCGTAGGCTGTGATTACCATCCTTACCATAACATACACCCGTTGGCTTGGGGCATCGAAATCAAGTAAAGTTGTTTTGCTCAGTGATGGAGTTCTTGTTTGTTGGAGGTTCTTCTCATCTCGTTAGAATGGGGTTGGCGTCAGAACGCGGGTAATTGCATCGCAGCCAAGCAAGCACCAGCCAGTCGTTGAGGGAAGTCACACCGACTGGCGGAATACTTGGTGGTAAACGATTGGAAGAGAAGTTGAATCTAAATATTAATACAAGTTCAAGTACCAATCTAAAGATATCTTGAAGGCCAAGATAGAATGGTTGTTTCAGCGTCTACCCAATCGATGTCCATCAAATAATTTCACTTTCGACGATTTGGAACTCACCGACCCCCTTCAAAGAGTTGTACGATTATTTAAAGATCTTTGGGACATAGGTCCCTTGAAAACAACCCACTAGTCAGTCCAGCTACTGTTGTTAAGAGTAGTCCACGCTACTGGGTGGGCTTAAACACGAAATCTCATCTGGAAGTGAAGCGTTATTGCTATCCCTTGTAGTATCAGTAAATGAAAAAGTTTCTTAATAAGACACAAAATTTAATAGTATCAATCTGTGACTCGTCTCAAACCCCCTCAATGAATGATCCAATTGGAACTGATATCACATCACGTGAAACGAGCAGATATCCATCTCTGGTTGGACAATGGAAATCATATAGCGAATTATTAGCCAAATAGCTCCAGTGAAGCAGTCATGTAGGTCATACTCACACACCACCGCAATGACTGATAGCTAGCTATCCCATTGAAAAGAAATGATGGGCCTACACCCCGCCAAATCTCGGACATCGGACCGAATCGGGAGCTCGCAAGTCCGCCACACCAGCTCCAGCCTCCAGAATCACCGCGAATTTGGCAATTTGATACTCCCCATACCTAAATCTCACAAACCATCCATACCAAGGCAAAAGCCCATCCTAAAAACTAGAATCAGCCATGCACAGGGAAACCCTTTCACCATCGACACTCCCCGCCTGGTCAAAGCTAAATGACATCTCCTTCTTCGACATCCATATCCAAGACCTGACCCATGAAGAAAAAGGACTAGGACTCGTAGCCACGAGGAAATTGAATTCTAAAGACACCTGTGAGAGACCGACTTTAATGGAGATACCCGGGGATCTGGTGTTGAGTGCTGAGGGGCTGGAGGAGTGGAAGAGGGTTGATGGGAGGTTGAGGGAGGTGCTTGAGAGGTGGGGTGGGAAGGTGGGTTGTTATTTCTCCATTTCTTTTTGTTCTTTTGCGAGATTGTTGGTTTGAAGGCTCAGAGCTTGGGGTTCATGGGGTTTGAGGGGGTTGGGGGTTGGTGATGTTTTGAGGATGAAGGCTAATGGGAATAGAGTTTGAGAAGGGATATCATGGTGTTTTTACTCATACATATCTCGAGAGAGGAGGATGGAAAGAGCTTGGGTGTTAAGAACCCGTGGACAGAGTATGTTAAGGTTCTTCCTGGTCATATTCCAGTCCCGACGATGTGGAGTGAGGAGGAGAGGATGTTGTTGACGGGGACAAGCCTAGAGGTACGTTCTGGTATATTTCTGTCAATTGACGTTGAGTATTTGGCTGGATTTTTCCTCCGTGGTGACTCTTGTTATGAAATGAGGGCATTGGCTAGCCTACTCTCTGGTTATAAGATGGAGCCCCGGCAACGACCTTGCTAATAACTCTTTTACAGCCAGCTTTGGCAGCAAAAATGAGTGTGCTCACTCGGGAGTTCGAAGAGCTTCGAGAAGCTACAGAGTCAATAGCATGGTGTTATAAGTGCTGGTGGCAGAACTCAACGCTGAATATCGAGGATTGGGTTTTACTCGATGCATGGTTTAGATCAAGATCTCTTGAGCTCCCAAATTCAGGAGAGTCTATGGTTCCGTGCATGGACATGGCAAATCACTCGTCGAAAGCAAATTCTTACTATGAACAAACGACCAATGGAGGCGTCGTCTTATTACTGAGGCCAGATATGGAATTGGAGGCAACAGAAGAAATCACCTTTAGCTACGGAGATTTGAAGAGCGATGCGGAGATGCTATTCAGTTATGGGTTTATCGACGAAAAGACTAGCACTTCTCAAGTCCTTGTATTACCTCTGGAGCCGATGTCCGAGGATCCACTAGGTAAAGCAAAAATAGCTGGATTCATGGGAAGACGAGTCATTACGATATCAACTGACCAGGAAGGCGCTTCATGGACAAGTCCATTCTTATATTTTATTTGCCTCAATGAAGAGGATGGCTTGGATTTCAAGGTTCTACAACAGACTGATGGGGAACAGAGTCCATTAAGGGTGTTTTGGCGAGAATCTGACGTAACAGAGGTCACGGACAATTTTGAATCTCTCATTGAAGATCATGAGCTCCAAGACGTATTCAAATTGAGGGTTGTGACTTTGCTAGAAGATCATGTCGAAAGCCAGCTTGAAAGACTCAACAAGTGTGATGGTGCTGTGCAATCATTATCAAGGCAAGTTGAGGCCGCTTGCGAGTCCACGATATCAATTCGCAGAGATGCGCTAACTACATTGTTAATTAGTATGGTGGAAATCTCGCCAACCGTTGAGAAGAATGCTCTGCGCCTTCGGGCTAGCGAAATGCTGATTCTGCAAAAGGCTTCGACTGCCATTGAAACCCAGGTTAGCCCATTCCAAACGAAACTGAGTTTGTTAGAGGCGGCACAGCTGACCTTGAACAGAAAGCTAAACTCCTAGAAAGCGAAGTTGTTCTACGATATCTCGGGATGTTTGGTAAGGATGAATCCGAGGAATCCGCGCCAGTATTGGTAACCAAGGATGACGACGATGTGGACGAAGACTTTAGTTGAGGCTAATGCAATTCCCGTTGAACCAATAGACTAGTATCTATGTTGCTGCAACACCTATGCGCCTCTCGCTTAGTGGCTGATATTCCAGGCCGTTCTTGAAGTACAGACACTTCAACCTCTCTTCTGATATCGAGGAATCAAATACCGGTCTTGAGCAATAGGCCATAAAGAATACTCCTCGATTGAAATGTGAGTCGACGGCAATACATGTCATTCCTTCCAGATCATGAAACCCGGATATTCCGAATAAGAGAAATGAATGGAGGTTATCCGATGAGTTTTTCCAAAATGATGTTTTGATATCCGCACCGCACTTAGTACCTCTCTTATAGGATGGCCAACTAGGATAGTGCATTCAACTAGTGCCAAGACCATGACTAATTGGAGTTGTACTATCAGCTTCCCTCTTGAGAATTCTGCAAAGTCGTATATATGAGCTTTGATTGGACACGGCAGGGACCTCAAATGTACCCCAACTTCCAAATAAGGTTTTACACCTTCCCCACAAAGCATGTAGTGCATTAGACCAAGTCGTTGACGACATTTGACAGGAGGATTTGGAGACATTCCATTGGTGGGATTCAGCCAACTTTCTGTCTATTCACCACCCGTCAGTGATAGATATTCCAATTTCACTAAGCCAATCATCGAGACATCAACTAGAGTAGCTCATGAAGGTTTCCAACTTTCGGTTCGCGAATCGCAATCTCAAGATTGCGGTATCATAATATCGTTGTACCTTTTGGGCTAAACGGCTACCGATACCAGAGCAATGTAAGCCTGCGTCAATGATTACCTGGTCTCACGCGGCTCGTCTCTCGTGTATCCTTCCAGACTTGGTGGACACATGATGAATGTCGGCAGATTCGGGGCGCCCCTTATATCTCTGCTAAGGCTAAAACCCTCCAACCCCAAGTAACGAGTTTTATTCGATGCGCCCAGATGAAAACTCGGGAGTCTGTTTACTCGGGTGCGAATGCCGCCGCAATCAAGTGGGTGAGGCATTATTCGCTGGTCCCTGATCGTTCAACACAACATGGCACTCTGGGTTGCCACCCTTGGGCCGACTAGGCTGGTCGAGTTTGTCTGCATTAGGATAGACGAGAACCAACTTGATTAAATGCTCTCGCCCTCCAAAGCCCAGGGCAAGGGCAACATCACAACATGGCATTTCCGTACTGGACAGTTGGGACCACATGTTTATGGGGTCGGGATAAGACGGGGTGGGGTGGCCAGTCAGACCGCGGATTTTGATAGAAATTCCCATTGCTATATGCTGAGCCTGAACATCAGAATTTTCTGAGTTGTGTGTTTGCAGTGTCGCCAGTGCTACAGCTGCCTCGACCAAGTGGTTCTCATCTGTTCAGTCAGAGCATAAAGAAAAGGAGTTTGATGGGGCGAAGATGACAATGCAGAGAAATCGAGAGGCTGTTCTCGCCCTATAACTCTCTTCCTTTCTCTGCCGGCCGGATCAGCAGCAGGACAAAGTTTCGCTGGATTGATTAATACGATCTGCATCTCGGGGACCATAATGGTGGGGGACGAGAGGCCAGTGATAGCTCCCGAGCTTAGCATTCTGAGGGGTACGTAGGTACATGCTACTCCCTAAGCTCCGCCTTCCGTAGCACAACATCTCGTTGGCTCTCGGTGGTGTTCTTCGTGAATCATTATGCCTTCCAGAACGGTAGAGGCCACTCCACTGCAAGATTCTCCAAGCACCCCGCCAAATGCCATCCTGTCGTGTCTCAAAGCTGCTCGTGAACTCCTGCACCCTGACATCCCCACGAAATGAGAACCCTGCTAGTGCTCCCCAGTGTGGCAGTGACCCTGTGCTCCACTCTGTTGTTCGTCCCCTCCATCTCCCCACATGAATCTTGAACCTCCCACGTAACATCTCGTCTTCCTTGATATCAACCGTACATCTGACCGGAAAACTCAGGGGGAAGAATACGTCTTAGCCGTGCGTGGAGACTTCCAATTCCAAACTTATCTAGACGAACGAAGAGTCACTTCATAGACAAAAACCCGTCGATGCCGCGGTTTCTCTAACCAAACCAACATCCGGACGAGCTACGGCATTCACCCGAGGCACCGCGTTCGCATCGCAAGCAATCCGAGATAGCCCCAACATGCCTGGAATACTCCCAATGAAAGTGATCAAGGTGGGACAGAGCGCGCAGAGCAGAATCGCCCAGGCGTGCGATAGATGTCGTAGCAAGAAAATACGTTGCGACGGAATTCGTCCTTGCGTATGCAACTCCTTTCTTTGATCCTTTTTAATAGAAGCCTACTCCTAGAGATGGGAGCAGGTCTTATCCTTGCTCGTTGATCCCAGCTCTTGAACCAGTGAGCAAAACGTATGTTAATTCATTACAGTGTTCGCAATGTTCGAATGTCGGGTTTGAATGCAAGACAAGCGATAAGCTCAGTAGAAGGGCTTTCCCCAGAGGGTACACGGAAAGCTTGGAGGAAAGAGTCAGGAATCTGGAGTCGGAAGTGCGAGAACTAAAGGATTTATTGGACGAGAAGGACGAGAAGATTGATATGTTATCAAGAATGCATTCAAATCGGAGACCGTCAATGTCAACGGCCAGCGCCAGTAGTCCCTTGACCGAAATGAGCAAAGAGTCATCGCCGCCAAAAGACGACGTGTTCAGGGTGCAGGCTTCTCCGCTACTACTAGGTGCGGAGAACTCAGATTCATATTTCATGGGTGCATCGAGTGGAAGAGCGTTTGTCGGTAGGTAGTACCAACGTAAGGATACAACGGCAAGACTAACCTCTAGTAGATTCTTTCAAACGTCGGATACAAGAAAGTGGGAAATCGTTGACCGGCTTCAATACAGAAGCCTTCCTCAACATTCAGGGTGACACAACCTCACTCTCCCAATTGACGGCGCCAAAGTCTTCGACAATCCCTCCACGGTTGTTCTCAGACAGATGCGTCAACGTCTTTTTCCAAGAGTGGGCTCCTCTCTTCCCAGTCTTGCACCGACCAAGCTTTCTCCGGCTGTATGAAGATTATATCTCGAATGCAGATCAGACGAAGGACCCTCATAAGCTAGCTCAATTGCATCTGGTGTTTGGGATTTCTGGGCTCTCAAGCGACGTCCCAGATAAGGAGCAGATCGCTTTGTGCGAGTACCAGTGGCGATCATCACTAGAAATCGTCTTGATGGATAACTCACTTGCTACACTTCAGTGTCTTGTACTCGCTCTTATCTACTGTATCAATAAGGCCGACTACAGCCGACTTCAACACTACAAAGGCATTGCGGTTGGACTTTCCCATCGACTTGGACTACATCAGAGTCAAAAGCGGTTTTCATTTGGTGCTCTTACTATTGAAACACGCAAGAAGGTTTTCTGGACTTTGTATGCCATTGATTGGTAGGTTCCTCGATAAAACTGCCCTACTAAGCTAACATTTCCAGTTTCTCTGCTGCTTTACTTGGACTTCCAAAACTGCTCAAAGAAGAAGATATTCATGCCGAATATCCTTCTGATACTGATGATGGTAAGATGGTCCGTTTATTTTACCAATCTGGCTAGTGCTAATACAATGTAGAGTATGTAACAGAGAAGGGCTTCCAGCCTACCCTTCCTGGCGAGTACACGAAGATTTCGAGTGCCCTGGCTTTATTCCGCGTTTCGCGAATCTTGTCCAAGGTTTTGGATCAAAATTACCCTGCGGCAGCAACACATGAGCTGTCATTGCAATCGCTTATGCTTCTCGACGCAGAGCTCAATGAGTGGTCGGAGAAACTTCCCACCCACCTTAAGCTTACTTTCGTCCAAGATAAACCATCAACTGACATTACAGGAAGTCGTTCTGCTTTAATGGTAAGAATAGGAAGCCTTATTTAGACGACTCTCGTGACTAATATGCTGCAGTCACTCGCTTATTACTATACTCGAACTTTGATTCACCGCCCAGCCGTTGGATCGTCGCTGGCTAGCAAATCTTCACCATCAGTCATTTCACTTGCCGAGTCGAGCAAACACATTATCCAAATATTACAGCTTCTTGAGGAGAGAAGCATGACATTCTCATTTTGTTTGAACAAGAATGAAATGTTAACACTTTGCGGACTAAGCCTACTCTACCAAGGTCTCGATCTTAAAGCTGACGGCAAGCTGATGGCAGACAGCCAGAGATTGGTTGGGATTGTGATTCGTTACCTTGAAAAAGCGGATGCACCCGGCGCTGCCGATTTCAAAAAGCTTGCACTTTCGATAACGAATGTGGATCTGAACACCATCTCACTACAAGGAGCGAGTCCAAGCTCTTTGCCAGCACCGAAGCTATTGAAATCTCCAAAACAGCAGATTCGACCGCAAGTTATGAGACATGACACAGCTTGCATGAGCGAAACAGATCTTCTCTCCCAACAAGAAAAGTTGAGGCGAGCAACTTTACCTAGCCTTGCAATGCAACGTCCCGAAAACTATTCGCCTCGTGCTCGTACTTCCTTGGACTCGGCGCGCTCCGATTCTCCATTACCTAGACGGGAATATCGTGGTACCTTGCCACAGCAGCAGACGGCATTACAACCTCGTCAAATGAGCAATGTCAAACCACCAAATCTAGATTACCTATCTCTTAGCAACACACCAGCTCCTTCCCACCCACAATCACCTAACGAGCTTCGAGCCCTTCAATCGTCTCAAACTGTACATGCCCCCATCTTCTCAAACGCACCACCATTCAATAACCCCAAACCCGCAACGGCACAACCAACTGAATGGGAGGTTCTACTCGGCTCCCTAGACAGCGGCCAAACCAATCTGTACGACGCTATCTATGGAGGACCAGCCCTCTCGCTCACCGAGACTTCACAGTCTAATTACGGGGACTCTGGATGGTCTCCTGATTCAGCGTGGGATCTGACGCTTAATATGAATGATTTCTCCAGTGGTCCTGGTCCAGCGAGAAGCGTATTGAGCTTTAGCGAAGAGAGTTTGAGTTCGGAGGATTTGAGTGCGAGTGAGTTGGGGCTTGGGAGGCATTTGGAGTATAGTCATCAAGGGTTAATTGCTCATTCTGTTTCTTCGAGGGATGGGTATTTGGTTGATCATTTGGATGGGGGTTTTGGGTTATGATTGGAAGTATGGGCTTGATTGGTGTTTGGATGAGGTTGTTCGGGTGGCTTGGGGATATTGGAGTTGATGTTGATGTTGACGGGGTTTTGGTAGGGAGGTAGCGTCATTTTTGGCGTTGTCAGATGTTACTGGGAGATTTCTCTGGTAGAGCTTTTTGGATTGGTAGCTTGGTTTTGTCTGGAGCTTGAGCGGTGGCCATTTATGATATCTCTTTTGATGTTTTGGTTTATTTATGATTACGATAATGATTCAATGAGATCATGGATATTAAGTAAGGAAAGTTCTTAACGTCTGGGTCGCTGTTTTCTCACGATTTGAATCTATGTCTCTTTCAGTGCCATCTTTTCCTTCTTTGTGATACACATAAATGCTTGTACAGTACATACCGTGAACATCTCCATGATCTAGCGAAAGCGGGACGTATAAGGGTCTATATTCTTGAAGTCGACGAGCGATATGTAATGGACTTCCTGGATGAGATTCTCGGCACGGGATTCGAATGTTGTTTTGGGGATTGAGCAAAGTTAGGTGTCCTAGAGACTATAGTCCTTGTGTTTTAAATGGGAGTCGAGGAGGGCCCCATTGATTGATCTATGGTGCTCTTCAGGATCGCGGAATATTGGGGTTTTTGCGCCTCCCGGTTCTTTTGTGGTAGTGTGCTTGGAAGACGATGTTGTATGAGGAAGTTGCTTCCGCTGAGGGATATGAATACATCGGATATCTTTGAGTGATAGGGTTAGAATTGCAGGTCATTCTGGATATTCTTGCATTTGGGGATGTGTATACTCTGATGGCGGGAGGTGTTTGGATATATGGTTGTGGGCAGTTTCAAGATCACAGTGTGTGATATAGCAAGGGTGATCTTTTGTTGGAATTTCGAATTAATCCACTTTTAATGTGTATAATTGAGGTCATCTGGGGTAAGTTCCTTACATGTATGGTCATGGACAGATGGAGACTTTTCAAGAGTGTAGGAGAAAGCCCAGAAAAAATAGGAGCTTGGTGAAAAGATACTTATGTGCAGTAGTGATATTGTGAATGCGTTCTCAAGGAGAATCCTACATCTTAGATCTCTATTAAAATTATCCGGGTAGTTCTTCCTGTGACCTCCTTCTCTTGTACATACAAAAATCACAGTGAAGCTGAATCAATACTTCCCACTCATCTTCACCAGCCCGGCATCTTCATTCTCCTTCTTACTCTTCCTCGCCCATTCCGGGGCGACATCGATCCCATCATCCTCCTCCTTATCACCCTTCTCTTTAGTAACATGTTCCGTCGTAGGGGCATGTTCAGCAGGCGAATAGATCGTATAAAGAATCTACAGAGTCGTTACATTAGTCCCATCCCTGCATTATCTTCATCTATACTCTCAAAACATACCAATGGTTTCTCCCCTTTATTCAAGAACTGGTGTTGCGTTCCCGCAGGAACAACCATCAGATCTCCCGCCTCAACAGCCTGTTCCTTTCCATTGATGATAGCGAGTCCTTTCCCGTGTGTGAAAGTGAGAGCTTGGTCTACGGTGTGTACTTCATCGCCGATATCGCCGCCGACTGGGACGGTCATTATTACTACTTGGCTGTAGAGACCTGCGTAGAGAACCTTTCGGAATGATGTTGATGATTCAGGGAGAGTGGTCGTTATTTTTGGGAAGTAGACCACTGTTCTTTCGTTAGTTTGTGAGTCAATTGAAGTGAGGGGATGAGGAGACGGACTTTCATGCTTAGGGATGGAGGAATTTGGGATGATGGCAGCCACCGTATTGGGGATTATTGAGAGAGCTCTGATTTGTGGTGTGATGGTTTTCGTAAATAGTTTTGGGATAGAGGTACGGAGGGTACTCGTACGTGTGAGAGATGAACGAAACATTGGAATTTGAAAGAGATAAAGGGAATTTATGTTTTAAAACGGGATGGCAATTGGTTTTGAGAGAGAAGAGATAAAACGAATACAAATCCCAGCTGAAAGACGACTAGATGTAGATGATATCATTACTAACTCCACCTACATCGAGAATGTGCTCTGTCATCACTCGGTAAGGGGGAGGCGACAAATGCAGGTACAGTACGCAGAGGGAGATCATCATTTGAATGAACCAGGGTTCGAATCTTTTCCATTGGCAGCATTAATGCCGAATTTTGAAGTGTGATTGTGGTCTGATGTCACTTCTTTTGCAACTAAATATTGACATTGGGCTCGGAGAATCATCGGGGAATCTTTCCCCAGATTTCGGAATCGGATCGGGGCGGATTAACTCCTCCGGGGCTGTATCCAAGGTGGAAAACATTCGATATAAAGCTACGACGGCAATCAACCTTCCATGATGAACAGCATTCCACGAATATGGTCGCGATTGGCTTCCAAGGGGCCGGCTTCTGCTTGGGTTTGCTCATCATGCGCCAATGTGAAAGCAACAACCGCCAAACACGCCACGCCCTTCTTCAAGTCTTCCATGCGAACGATATCCAATAGCTCGAAGTCAGGAAACAATGCCGCCCCGACCATGGAGCAGCTGCGGGCGCCTTTCAAATCGAAGAATACCTCAACTCTCTACTATACCCTCAGCATAATCTTAGGAACAGTGGCGTTCTCGTACGGCTCAGTGCCAATGTACAAAATGGTACGTTTGGAACCCCACCCACCCCACCTCATTTGTTGTCATATGTTCCTAACACATATCAGATCTGCCAAACAACCGGCTGGGGAGGACAACCTATAAAGGCGCCTGGGCATGGAGGAACTTTAGTGGAAGGACAAGACCCCTCAGAACGATTGAAACCCGTCACCACCGCAAAGCGAATCCGCATAACCTTCAACGGATCCGTCTCGGACGTGCTCCCATGGAAATTCGTGCCGCAACAACGAGAAGTACGAGTCCTACCTGGGGAAACTGCCTTGGCATTCTATACCGCGACCAACAAGTCGAATGAGGATATTATCGGGGTGGCGACGTATAGTGTGACTCCGGCGCAGGTGTCGCCTTACTTTGCGAAGATCCAGTGCTTTTGTTTTGAGGAGCAGAGATTGAATGCCAATGAGACGGTGGATATGCCGGTTTTCTTTTATATTGATCCGGATTTTGTGAATGACCCTAGTATGAAGGGGATTGAGCAGGTTACTTTGAGTTATACCTTTTTTAGTGAGTGGGGTTGTATCTTGAGAAATGATGGAGTTTTGCTAATGAACAATAGAAGCGAGATATGATAAGAATGGCCATTTGACGCCTGTAGCTTGATTGTGGTTGTATGATATTTGGGATAGCCGTGTATAGTTGTACAGTACTTGCATGCATTTTGGGGCGTTCAAAAGATGGTATCGCTTGGAGTCTACATATCTTTTCTACTCCCGGATTTTCAACGAAAGTACAATGAAATTGTTGTTGGCTTTCCTTCCAAGATCTTATCGTCTCGGTTTGTGTTAGCTTCCACTCATGCCTTCATCTCCATATTATTCTTAGAGTCACTGTCCTTGCAGTTGGAGCTCCAGATTGTTTGGAGACTACCCCACTATATTGTGTCCTAATTTATATACGCAAGCTGGATTATAACGCAATATCTTGGTGCTCATAATTTCGAGGCCATCACAGAGGTGCCCACTTGGGAAGTTCTAGAACAAGCAACTATTACAGGCAATGGTTTCCTAAAGCTCCTTTATAACACTAGTTACAGCATACCATCAGCTTTATGGACATGAAGTTTGTATCAGACTCACTTCAAATCAAGACTTCTAGACTGTTTCTTGTGAGCCAAGCACCTGATACCCTCAGCTTCTCCAACTCCGCTGTTCTTCCGACTTCCTACAAAAATAAATGGCAAAAACACCTCCTGCCAGGCCTGCCAGGTTTCACAACTAGATGAACTGAGTTTTTTGATTATTTTCTTCAGTGTCCTTAACCACGCTATACATCCTTGGGAAACAGCTAGTGTGTGCGGCACTTCTGTCTTTGATCACATACTAACTGACTAGGCCAGACTAGCAGAATCCCAAATTTGGTCACAGTGGAGGGTTTATTTAGAGGGAGATATTTGTGTTGCTTAGAATGCGGGAATTTTTCTTTGTGCGACCAACCATGTCATGGCATACTTCAAGTCCTCCAGCGGGGTCTAACTACATATTCGTCTCTGTAAATGTCTCTGTGTGGCGGACGAACTTCATCTTTTCTTCTTCATGAACCGCAGATAGCCTAAGTTTGGTGGAAAGGGGACCCGGTACGGTTTTCCAAAGTCCAATACGGATACTACAATCTTATATAAATCGCAGAGAGCAAAAGTCTCGTAGTTACTACTACTGGGTACACACACCTCCACACTCCCACACCCCTTGTCAGAAGACGAGGGCACAATATGGAATGGATAAACTGGAATACAGAGAGAAGCTAGCTAGGGGGGAGAAGGGAGTCTCATAAGACGTGGAAGGCTCTAGAGTACTAGGCATCCACCTAGGCAACCGAGACAGGGGGTCAGGCAGCAAAGACAAGAGCCTCGTTATATAACACCCTACTCATAAAACTTACATGAAATCAGACCTTGCTATCTTACACCAGTAACTCTCGCATACCCTCATCATCATCGCACTCTCGCCACTCCCTCTTTTGTTGCCGCGTCCTGCCTACTGCCCCCGAACGTTCTCTCTACCCCCCTCACATGCGCATTTCTCACTGTCGCAAAGCTTTAAAAGCTTTACTACAAGAAATCAGAAGAAATTCAAAGAGATTCAAAATTATGAAAGAGAATAAGGGTAGTGATTAGTTATTATAGGAACACGTGCCTCTTCACCCTTCAAAATGTAGGATTTAAAATTAGGGGGTTAAGCGAGAGATGTATAGCAAAGATATTTCCTCGCTTCCACTCTTGGGTTTTTTTATCTTCGGTAGAAAAGGTAATAGTAATACCAAGGTACTAAAGTTAGATGCTAGATACTAGAACGGTAATCCTTATCTAGAACCCTTCGCCGGATAGAAGACATTATTCAGACTTGACGGTTCTAAATTCCAGGTCCTCAGACGACCCTTTCGGTTGGCGGGTTATCCCAAGTCATTTTCTACGGACTAGATAACCGACACAGCCTCTAGCACGGGATCTTATGTGTATACATAGGTCTAAAACCAGGTTTCTAAAACCAGGTAATCATAAATTATAAATTGTAAGAAAGAGTCAGAGAATGGAGTAGGTATATAGTATTAAATATAATTGAATATACAGAGAATGGAGTAGGTATATAGTATTAAATATAATTGAATATATAGTGTAAGTCCTCTAGACTATGGGCCTACATATTTTCTTACGCTCTCTTTCCCTTGACTCTATTTTGGTAAGAGAAGTAGTTATTACTTTGTATATATCTGGCTTATAATAATATTATTCTAAAGCCTTCGTATAATAGGAATAGTTATATAAATAGTTTAGACTAGCTATTAAATTTTACCTTTTATTTACTAACGAATACTAAGATTATTAAGTTAAGTATACTAGATATTTAGTATAATAACATTCTATAGTATATGTAGAGTGTTAACTAGCTTTTCTACCCCCTTGCGTACTAATTATATATATCCCTTTCTTCCCTTCTATCCTAAATATTATAAGAGCTTCGTAGGACAAAGAAGAGAAGAGAAAGTAAAACGGAGAGTAAGGATAGGTAAGTAGCAAAGTTTCGTTAGCGCGGCACGTGTGCTAGCTTAGCCTCTTTAGGAAAGTAGGAAGAGGAACTAGAAATAAGCGACAGGTAGAGTAACTATATTTCTCCCGCTTTTCTATATATCTTTCTCCCTTTCTTGTAAACAGTACACTTGGGCGTAGCCCCTATATAATAGTAATGATACGGTAATAAGAACGGGGTAGTAGAGATAGGTAGTAATAGTAGCGGAAGTAAGAGTATATACATTTGTATACATTGAAATACAAGGTCTAATTTCATGTAAAGTTTAAGAGTTAGGTGGGGTGGATGCATAAGGACATATGTGTAGTAGTAGCAATAGATATATTTGCGATTTGCGGTTTGCGATTTGCGATAACCTCGTTTCTAACCTACGTGTATTTTAGTTTGCGATTTGCGATTTGCTATTTGCGGTTACCTTTTTTCAAACCTAAGTGTACAATCAGGATATAGTATACAGGCACCTAAGAATGCCATGCGTTTCTAACCTTATAATCTTTATACTTTACTTTAGTAAAAATTCTTTCCTCTAACATATAAATAACTATATAATTTCATTCAAATTCTATTACTTTAAATGAACTGAAAAATATAATTACATTTTGATTTTGAATTCACGTGTTGTTTATTTTTCTCGCTTCGTTCTCACCTCACTTTCCCTTCAAAATTCACTATAATCGAATGGTGCAGAACGTGGTGAATTAAAGCACCTGATAGGCGGTGAAGTCGAAATCCTCATGAGATCCCACTGTCGCCTTTGATCTGAATTTTCGCGCCGACCAACTCCAAAACAACACCACCACCACCATACCACCAACCACACGCGCAAACCGACCACACTAGCAGACCAGAACCAGAGACAAAATGGCCGATTCAGCACCATCCGCAGAGCGCGCTCAACAGCATGCAATGGATCTCAAGGATCCTGATTGCTGGAAGACGTTTGGAGGGGGTATTGCGCCGATCTTCGCCATCCCAGTTGAAGCGCATGTGGTCAGATTCAACAATTTGCATCTTCTTGATGCTTTCTCTTTGAGTCTAACTTGGTATGATTATGAAATTTCACACCTTTTTATGCCATTGTGAAAGGAATAAGAGCTAACACTGATTTAGCACCTACCTATACGCCCTGTCTCCTACCCGCTTTATCGCCATCCGTCGCGCTCGGCATTATATAAACACTCGTTCAGCCAATGACGCCCCTATAATTCCTCTCAGCCTTGGTGTACCAGACTCAGCGTTCCCCTTGGTAAAGGGGTGTACCCTTTGTCTTCCTGCCTTATATTACCCATGTCATTGCGAACTACATTTCCACATCGAAAAGTTCATGCCGGCGCATTTGAAATACTGCAATTCTTGTAGGATGTTTACCTTGAACTACGAAGAGTCACAACGTCGTCTTCGCTTAGAGAGACGGAGCGGAAACCAGAGACGGAGCCGACCAGCGGGACGTGGTGTTTTGTTCAATTGGGTTCCAGAGCTTTACTATGATGAACATGATGAACAACCGAGTGCTGTACCTACTCCTGGACCTGATCCTGATGTTCAAATGGAAGGAATTGAGGACGAGGAGGAAAGTCTGCCATCAACTGCGTTTCCATCAACTGCGTTTCCATCAACTGCTCAATCAGCCGCTGAACCTGGTCCTGATCCTTCAGTTGAAGAAAGAGATGAGGAGGAGAGTCTGTCATCAACTGCATCTCCACACTCACTACACTCAGAAAATGAAAGACTACGTCTTGAAGTAAGACACCTACGCGAACAAATACGAATTCAGGACCAGCACATGGATCAATTGAACGAATTCGCCACTATATTACAACAACCAGCACATCAAAGGCTGTTTTCAAATCTACCGCTGAACAACCCACAGCAGGATTTCACCGTTGTACACTCAGGTATCTAATTACCACCAATTCCAGGAAACCCGCCAGTCAACCCAAACACACTAGGACAGATGGACATAGACGAAGACAGAACTACATTCATAATGACAGACGGAGGTCTACAAGGACAACTACTACCTCGTCTCAATATTGAATTTCCATTTCTAGCTGTGCGTCCTGAACCAGAACAATGGAACTCCAGCCTGCATGGCAGCAGCAGGTGGATTCGGATCCTAGAAGATACAAATCCAAGAAGAGGAGATGAACTATGTGGTAGATGTAATATACCATATAGCCTTGCGAATGATTGCGGTCGGCAACATATAGTGCCACGTCAGCCAGGCCAGAGAGATCGTGTGAGGAGGTGGTATAACGGGAGCCGGTTGAATCAGTATGGTCGCACGGTATATGAGAGTGAGGGTCCTACAACAGATGGAGATTCATACAATGTGATGTGACGGGGGAAGTGTAAAACTGATTTGCATTGGTATATTTGGATTGCCTTGGGAGTCGAAAGACTGTTGAATAGTGCATAGTGTTGGAAGCGTTGGGGGTGTTTGGGGAGAACTGTGTGAGATGCTTGGGGATTTCTGATAGGAGGGCTTGATGTATGCACTTTCTGACACCAGTTCGTTCTCCTTTGAGGCACAGAGTTGAAGAGTCTTCATGAAGGCAGAAGGCAGAAAGCAGGTATACTTGAAGGCCATACGGCTGGTTGTGCTTGAGAAGCAGCATTGAAATATGTATAGAGAATACCATCCAGACAAAAGAAAAGAAGAGAAACAATGTAGAGTCATACCAGCCTCTGTCATTCACAGTAACATGTTGTTATCTACCAAGTGCCCAACGGAAGTTGGAAAACCTCTACTTCATATGCCATGTTGTTTTGAACCATTATACTAGAATTTTCTCAAAGAATTTCGTTTGTGAGAAAGTTCAGCACAGCGATTATAGTCGCTAAGGGAGTTATTAGGGTTACTGCCCAAACAATGTAAAAATGTAAACGTATCAGCCTTTCAACAAGTGTGCAAGCACTTCCCCCAAAATGCTCGCCTGATTACTCTCATTGTCCAGGCTTCTTGGTAGAATATTACTCCATCCAGGGAGCTAGGTTTACTTGAAACTAGAAATTGCGCCATCCAACACACAAAAGATATGGTAAGTCAGTATTCAAATTCTTTTCATTTCAAACTTTCCAATCCTAATTTCCAGATCGTCTAAACTCTGTCAGGTTAACTCCTACTCCTACAAGCACCCACCCAATCAATCTTCCCCAACCCATTAGGGATATCAACTCCACTCGCTGTCCAACTCGCAAGCGCTGTCTCAAACCCCCAAGCCAGGCCAGCTTTCATCCAATGCTTCCTGCGACCCCAGACCATAGCCTCCGCCACAGTCGCTACCCCATTCAACAAGAAGAAAATCGCAATCCTCTTGAGCGCCTGGTTCGACAATATCGGACTGAGGGCAAAAACATGGAATAGAGCCATTAATCCAAAGGCACCAATGGCACCAAGAGAACGCGCTAGTACGATTGGAACCCCGAGTTTTGGGAGTCCGTAGCGGATTGGTGCGTAGATGAGAGATGTGCAAGGGGATGCGAAGGCGTTATGCCACGTTTCGCTCCTGTGAGTTGTTAGTACATGATGTTGTTGGTTTGGAATGAGATGCGTATTACCAGAATCCAGTCAGGCTATCCGCGAGATAAAGTGGACCGAAAAGAGCGGGACTGCTTTTATATCTAAGAGTCATCTGCATACAAGTCCAGATAATGTAAATCGCCAAGAGCACCTCAAATGCCAAGATGGTCGAGTGGTTCTGCGGTAAAGACTGCAAAAAAGCAAAAGCAAGAGTATGGAGAGCAAGTTGGAGTGGCTCATTGAAGTTCTCCTGTTTTCGGAGAACTCGGATACTATTAGGTGTGAAACTTTCATAACGAAGTTCAGTTAGAAGCATCAAGGCCAGTTTCCAATCCGGAGGTTTGGAACCGGCCGTGTATGTTGGGAGGGAATCTTGACGGGCCCAGATATCGAGGACTTTCATTGTTCCGATTGCGACTAAATACCATCAGTCAGCAAAATGCTTATAGAGGTGTGACTGGAGCAAAAGTAAGCTTACTGGCAAAATGTTGAAGACATCTTGCCGGACCACAAGATATCGGTGCCAGAACTAGAGAAATCCAAAAAGTGACAAGTGAAAGAAACGTAAGGATTTTGAACAGTCGGCTGACACCTTTTGTGTGGAAGTATATAGAGAAGTAGGCAAGTTCCACCGGAATCAATGTGAAGGCTATGGCTTTGACGACTTCTTCCCCGATCTTGTTGATTTCTGGTGGTACTTGGAGATCCGACAAAGAGATCATACCGCTTTGGATCTCGGAGACGTTCATTCTGATGTTGTGATAAACAATTTCGTCACGTTTCCGTTTTGAAACCTTCAAATAATAACTTCTTGCGGCACGAGTAATAAAGTTGTACACCGGTATTTTGGCTTTTCGTGCTAGGATGACCCCTCGGCTGTTCTTGATAGAATATACTACTAGGTTGGAGTTTCTAGGTGATGCGGTCTGTAGGTAGTCGGCAGGCCGTACAGATTTTGTAAAAGATCAGAATCCGAGAGTCGGAAAGATGAAAAATTTATGTACTGTGCGGCTCCTTCCTCGGACGAAATTCGCAGTCATCGTATCGTGGTTGCGATTTCCTTCACCGGAAAGTCCGGCTGCCCAGACGCCAGCACAGCGAGGAGAATTTCTAGATCCCGCCGTTGACGAGCTTTGTTGAATGCCTAGAAGAGAAATACATCCAGCCTCCAGCCTTGTTTTGAGGCAAGATTTCACGACGAGGAAACATGGGATGAATGCTCTGATTGTTAGCGTTTAAGTGTAACGGCACACCACCTCGTGATGAATCCTAAAAGCGGCATTTTTCAAACATCTTTCGTTGTTCTCGACAATGCCCTATTGCCGCTTTTATTGTCCACTCAAGAAAACCCCGCATGTTGCTGATTAATGCGGACATACTTGGTACTCGATCGTCGCCTTCGAGGGAAGCATTGCATCTTGCTGAGAGCGGAGCCTCTCGTCCGATTTGCTAGGTGCCTGCTTCTCACTACTACACAGAGCTAAAGCGCGCGGCGTTCGAGAGAACAAGAAGTCAAAAAGTGGATTGGTTTTCTTCAACTACAGCATTATCATGCCGCATCTACAGGCATGTATTAATCGAATTTATCTCTTCATCGTCATTCATACGCTGGTAAAAAATGTACAGGAAGACCTAACCGCGTCATCTACTCACAAACTCCAAATGATGCGATTTTCCTCCCAACGCCATTTTCCATCCATGAATCATATACACGTTTCCCCCACCCGAATCCAATAGTAATAAAACAACACCGGAAGCTCTTCCGTTAATCCGTACTATACAAAACCTCGACACGATCACCTCGCCCTGTGAGACCTGTGGCTTCTATCCTTTCCTTTTTTGCTCTTGTCTCGTGGAAGTTCCACCGGGGCATCTTTCAATTCTTCTGTCATGACTTGGAGCATATAGTCATCAGTAGACTTGACGAGTCCACCCCATGCGTTGAGTTCTTCCTCCTCAACTGGCTCCATCACAGCCTCGACAGTCGGTGTTGCTGCTCCGGGTGTCTCTACCAGCTCTTGAGGGGTACTTGCTGCCGCCGGTGTTGTCGTTGCTGTGGCAGTGTTCTCATCAAAGTCTGCGGCATCTGTTTCGTTAATTTCCCGTTCAGCTACCCGAGCTGCAGCCACATCTTCACGGTCCTCGGCCTGGGCCAGTACTCGTTGAACATTTTTGTTGTTGCCAGGGCCACCTAGAACACGGTCCATAGCGGCACTTGCGGCAGCGGCATCTTCATCAAGAGGAGTTGTCTCGTCTTCTTCGGTTACTTCTTTATTAGGCTTGTTGAAATAATCTGTCGTAAACTCCCCTTCCTGAATGACCACATCATCCAGCATACGTTTTTGGTTTGCTTTGCGAAGGATATTGGCCTCAATCGTATGCTCCGAGACGAGACGATAGATATGTACCTCACGAGTTTGACCAATACGATGGCATCGATCTTGACATTGGGCATCCATAGCAGGATTCCAGTCAAGGTCGTAAAAGATAACCGTATCAGCTCCAGTCAAGTTGATACCTAAACCACCAGATCGACTAGACAAGATAAATGCCAGGATGCGGGTATCGTTATTGAAACGGTCTGTTAGAATCTGCCGCTGTTCAACCTTCGTGTTGCCATCCAGTCGAAGATACTTGTGGCCATGAATATTCAAGAATTGCTCAAGAATGTCAAGAACTTTGGTCATCTGAGTGAAAATAAGTACGCGATGACCTCCGGCTTCAAGTCGACGAAGAAGGTTCGCTAAAGCCTGTAATTTCCCGCAATCATATTGCAATAAACGTTTATCCGGGAACTGAATGGATAACCGCATTCGTGCTTCATGAAAAGGATCTTTCCTTGCGCTATCGACGGTTGACCGCAAAGTGACAATTCCATCTTGCTTGAGGACCAAGGTGGATATGTCCTTTGCAACGACTGGAGGAGTTACGCAGGCAAACTTTCGAATGGTGGAATCGAGTGCATTGGAACGTGCAGCTAACGTGGGAACCATCGAATTCAGCACGGGCGAATAGTTTGAGATCCAGTCCAACCATTTTGCTTGCTTTTTGGGCTTTGGCTGATTAGGCCACTGGGGAAGACCCAAAGTCACCGTCTCCAGGAGTTCTTTCCCATAAATGGGCTTTTGCTGCCGTCGGAGAGCATTGAGATAGACACAATGTTGTAATTCTTCAAATCTACCCCATCGGGACGCACTCTCCAAATACACCAAGTTGGAATTTGCAGTGGCTGGGTTGAGCTGGGTAAAAGAATTATGTGCTCTTTGCCGTTGTGCCTCACGCATCTTCATCAGGAGCTGCTGGGCACTGAGGGTAATAATCCGCGCAGAGGCAGTGGTAGAGAGACGTTCATGCTTGGTCGGGACAAGATTCAGGAATTCCAAGCTGACCTTGGACATCGGCTCTTCTTTGAATAGACGGCGGCGAACAAGAAGCTCTTTGATCTCAAAGTCCGCAATAGCTGACTTTTCCATAGGGAAAGAGGTCATAATTGGGCGATCAAGGAAAAGATCTGGATGATTGCACACCTTTCTCAATTGCATCAAACAATTGATGATTGATAGATAATTCCCGGATGCCAGAGTACCTCTAGTATCATCCCTACTCAGAAAGCTGTCATAAAGTTCTCTCTGTCGCTTGGAAAGCCGACAAAATTCGACGTGTTCGTACTTTGCAGGCATTTGCTTCTCAACGTCTGCTTTCAATCTCCGTAGAAGATAAGGCCTAAGCACCTTGTGAAGTTTGCCGATGATTGCTTTCGACTCGTCATCCATCTGCTCACGGCCATGCTCGAGAATCTGCTCGGATGGCTTTTTAAACCAGTCTTGAAACTCTTTCAAATTTGCGAACCCGCCTACAGCCGGTTCTGTACCGTCCGAGGGCATCAGAAAATAAAGTAAAGACCAAAGTTCCGTAAGATTGTTTTGTAGAGGGGTACCGGTAAGCAGGAGTCGTGCTCGAGTGGAGAAGGTCAACATAGCCTGCCACCTCTGGGATTGAAAGTTCTTAATATTATGAGCTTCATCCAGAATCATGTAATGCCATTGTCGACGTTTGAAGATGACCTGGTCGCGCAGGATGAGCTGATACGATGTGATACAAACATTCCAAGAGTTTTCTCCGTTCCACCCTGAGCGTTTTCTTTTGCGCTCCTCCGGTGACCCATAATATGTTAATATCTTGAACCCTGGACACCATTTTTTGAACTCCATTTCCCAGTTCAGCATGACACTAGTTGGAACAATCACAAGATGCGGGCCCCATACTTCATGCTCGCATGCAAGATGTGCCAGTAAAGCAATCGTCTGTATAGTCTTACCCAGCCCCATTTCATCGGCCAAGATACCATTCGTGCCTGCCTTGTATAGTCCAGCAAGCCAATCCAGACCGTCGTGCTGATACTCTCTCAGAGTCCCGCGAAGCAGGTGTGGGATGGGTGTTTTAGGGTTGCTAGTGGGCTGTGGCGAGGAGCTCTGACTAACTTGCCTGCTATTTCGATGTAGCTCTACTGATGATGCCGAGTCGACTTCAGAGTGTCTTGTCTCGGTAGTTCTTGGTGTCGGTAGGCTGCTGTGGTCGGGACTTGAGGCTGCAACTTTCTGGATTTTCTTGTTTGGCATTGTAACACCTATGCTGGAGTTGGTTGACGTTTCATCATCAACGTCGATAATACCTCTGACTGGAAGATCATCTTGAACTCCGTCTTCGACAGTTAGAGGCGTGCCGTTGTGATTGCTGTCAAGCTCTGTCGCAGTCGGCTCCTGTTCAGATACGTCCTTTTCTAACTTCATCGCCTTGAGCTCTCCTGGATCAAGGAATCCAAGCAGACCTAGTGAGCCAGCATTGCCGTCTGACTCGTCCTCGCTGCTACCTCCTCCTTCATCATCGTCACTCTCTTCGTCGCTAGATTCAGAATCGTCGTCCATGTCAATTGACTCGTCGCTATCTTCTGCAGCAATACCATCTACTTCCAGGCCGGGTTCCACCACAACATCGGACATCTCAACATCAGGCGCCTCTACCTCTTCTGTCTGAACTGACATAGTTTCAATTCCGGAATATTTTACTTTGAGTTGCTCTTGTGTAAGCAACTCGTCCTCTGCTGCATCTGGCGAAGTTTGCTCCTCTTCTCCTTCAGAGTCTATGGATGACATGTTGCTCTCGCCATCTTCGCCCTCAGAATCCGATGGAATATTTTCACCTCCTTCGGAGTCTTGAGTCTCATTATCCTCGCTTGTCACCTCAGAATCCCTGAAAGCGCCCTGCGCCTGAAGCTTCAATGTCGACTTATCTACGGCTTCATTCAAAGCCCTGCGAACTCGCTCCTGTTCTTGAGCCTGCCACTCCACAAGACGTCGTCGATTCACCTCTGCTCTCGCGTTTGCCCAGGTAGCTTGCAAAGTTTTCACCAAGAATCTGTAACGGTTCTGGGAAATCTTGGTTTGCTCCACTTCCAATTGCTCCAGTGATTTTGGTTGTCGCCGTTTCCATTCATCCCTACACGCTTCCGCGAGTTTTTTTGCGTTACTCATATGTTTCTTTTTTTCGATTTCCATCAATCTCTGAAATCCAATAGCAGCTCTGTTTACATGATCTAGGTGCGCGTATTGCATAGGAATTGTATGATCTTGCTGTGGCCGTTCATAAGCAGAACAAAATTCAGGACTGAGAAGACCACCAGGCTTTGCAGCTTCCTCGAGCCGTGTAAGAAGAAGACCATCTCTTGATACCGACTCTGGTGGATAATCAATCAAATCTTCTGCAACGTACAGGCCTCCGTCTTCCACCGGAATTTTCTCAGCGGCCTTGAAAAACTCTCCCAGGGTGGTGTAATTTTTGGGATGTTGAAGTTCTAGGCCCGGATGAGTTATAGGTATCGATGCTGGCTTGACTAGGATCTTAATTCGAGAGAGTTTAGCTTTAGGACTTTCTGCCGGAAGCTCCACTTGTTGGATAATAGTTGTATCCAACTTAGTAACCTCCTCGTCATTGTTCGTGTCTCGTCGAAGGCGACGCAATTTATCTGGCCGCGGTTGTGTTGGTGCTGATTGAGGGGCTTTGGGACTCGGAGACCGTTTGTGGTTGCGTACTGGGGTTTGCTTTTGCTCACTCGGCATAGACTTCCGGAGACTTCGCTTTGGAGGCGCTACAGATTTGGACGGAGATTGAGACTGGAGCGCATGCTGGGTACTGGTTGCGCCGTTAGTACTAGCCTTTCGGTTTCCGTTGGTTGATGTAGTCGTTGCTTCCTTCGCCTGGTGCCCATTCACTTTCCCATTCTTGTTAGTACTAGGGGTTGTCTTCTGGACAATGCCTCGTGTCTGGCGCCTGTCGGAGGGTGGTTGGAGTTCAAAAGGTATGTGGTTCGTCCGGCCTGATTTTCTCCTCCCATCCTGTGTAAATGACGAAGGTCCGTCTGCTACGATCTTCTTCCAAGGGGGCGACTCAGGTTTTGGACGCGGAATCGACGCGGCTTCACTAACTCGCTGCTTCTTTGGTGGAGGACCCTCATCACGTTCGGTCTGGTCTATTGCGCCGTGGAGTTTCGCGGGTTCGGTATCTGCGGGCGCATGGGATGGAGGAGGGGGCGCGGATGGATGTTTGGTGTTGTTTGGGGGTTGCGATCTTGTATTCGACTCTTCAACTTCTGTCATGACTGGGGCCAGGCACTACCGTGAGCTCAACGAAATCAACATTTGAGGGGACGATTTTTACGTCGGTAGATGCGCAAAGCTACAAAAAGTTCTGCCGTGAAATCCCTGCAATGCCTAGACGTCTGTGGCGGATGTGGTTGACGATAAACCAAGGAGCTATTCATGTCTGGTGTGTGTCAACAGAAATCAAAAATTAGACTAAACCTGGGTGGCACGTGTGGTGGAGGAGCATCCGCGCTAGTGCGCCCGACCTCCGAGCTCAGTGCTGGATACCGTGCCGTGGCTGGCCTGGCTATCTCCATTCAATCTCCATACACCACCACAACCAATACCCCTCACTCGACGTAGGACTCCCCCGACCCCGTCGCCATCTCGAAGCCTCTACAGGCCGACTGAATTTTCATTGCAGATGTTGTCGCGGCGAATTGCAACTGCGCGCCCTCTTCGGGCTGCGTACCCCATCGCTCAGCGAACACTACTCGGACAGCATCGAAAAGCTTCATCAGCCGATGCTGAATTTCCCGCCATGGTCCGTAGCCACTCAATTGCGCCATAAATCCTACTCGGAAGCAATTGGAAGCTTTTGGCTAACATCGCAGATGGCAGACGGAGGCTGAGGATCCTGAAATGGTTGGTGATGGTCCCTCGAGCCATGGAGCAATTGGTTGACAATGTGCATAGAATGGAGGATACGTCAACCCACCTGCAGTAAAGAGACAGTTTCGCGATCCTTATGGCGACTGGTGGGACAAGCAAGAGCGCCGAAACTACGGAGAGCCGGTCCACGAAGACAATGATATCCTTGGAATGTTTTCCCCCCATGAATACACCCACACGAAGCCAGGAAAGGGATTGTTTCAAATTGGTTGCTTTGTGGCTGCTGTCTTTGGACTCTGTGGTGTTGTTAGCATGACCTATCCTGACAAGCCATCGGCACCGCGAGAGTTTGAGGGAGGACTGGAGAAGGAATTGGGTGGACCAGGGGCAGTAAGGGCAAGTTGAAGATATGCCTCTTTGGTTGATTTTGTATTGGTGCTGACTCAGTAACAGGCGAGAGCTGCAGGCGATCCATGAAAGGTCAAAACGAGATGATTGTAAATACAGAGTTGGTATTTCATACTCAGAGATTCCAACTCCAAAGATGGCTTGTTTGCCATAAGTTAGAGTATTGTACGAGGAAGAATAAGGAAGCCAAAAATTCAAACACTAAATCAACTGTGACCTTTCTTAACTTGATGGGCACTTCAATTGGTACAAAGAAAACGAAACGCAATCTGGTAAAAGAAGCACTGTAGATATCACCAACGCCTCCGTTTCTCTTGCTTACCATCTGGGACGGGGAACTATATGCCATATCGGTTTTATTTTCCTATAGCTCCAGGGCCTTGGCAGCCTAGCGAGACCAATTGCTCTTCCCTCATTCGTTCCATCCCATTGTCTCCCTCATAAGCTCTTGCCAAGCGAGTGCTTTGCGCCTGCTTTCTTTGCAGTACTGGCGTATTTCGTCTTTTTGGGCCAACCCCAGCCCAGTTTCCAAAGTTTTTCATCGTTGGAGTGGAGTTCCCAGATTCTTTCCAACTACTGCTTTTCGCTCATCATTTGCAAGCAGCACATGCTGACTTGGTGACTCTTCGGAATAGCAAGATGCGGTACCAGAATTGGGATGTTCTTCTTTTTCCCGAGCAATCCAAGATTCCGCAGCAGGAGTTCAAAACCGCATGTCAAGTTATTCAGGATCATGGTATGGATGGGGCCTATGGGCTTGTCTTCTCATGCTTTTCTTCCTGCTGATGCCAGTCTCAGACGCCCAAACTTTGCAGACCAACCCCTCCTTGCTACCCACCGTCACCTCCTTCATCCCCGCCTTGCCGCCTGGTGCACACTTTCGGGTCTCCATACACTCTTGGGAGAATCCTGAAATAAGCCGCTTTATTCAGAGCATCAAGAAATCAACGGACAAAATCATGTTTGAGGCTCGAGTTTTTTTAGATGGACGGATTGCCGGGTATTGTTTACATGTCCATCTTATATCGGCCTAGCCATGCTGATGTCGGTTGGTGGTAGTTCGAAATGGTTTAGTCAAGATGGACCATGGCCAACCATTCTTGAGCTTAGTATTGGTATGGACACTTCTGTCGAATCTCAGGGTAGGATCTAATCAATACTCGTCTCTCACAGACCTCGACAAGCATGGCGAATACGAAAAGCTCAAATTTCCGGCTTTCCATCAGGAATTGTTATCACAAAGCTATTGGAATGCCTGCGATGATTATGGCCGTGTAAAAATCATTATTGCCGAGGGGTTCACACGGGACAACATGACATATCCTTTTGAGCGTGTCAAAAACCTCGTATCTTTCTCCTTCCAACATGCTCCACTTGGCAAGCTCTCCCCCTTACAAGCCTGATTCCAACTCCTATTGACTCTTTTCTGCAGATGTACTTGAGACTTCTGCAATCGCATGGCCAAACGCCGCTATGTGGAGACAAGTACCTGTTGTCGGGCCTTATTATGCACCACACTTCGCGTCGCAGCAAGCTGAGGAAGATACTGAAGCTCATAGCCACTCTCCTCGTCGTGCGATCATGGCAGCCAGGCCTCCTTTGGCAACTTGCAATATGGAATCCTTGTACAATCAACCAGTATACCTACGACCATCCATGCTTGATCCCTTTACGGAACCCTCTTTTAGTGGATGGCGTCAGTCGTCAGTCCGTCAGTCATCAGCAACAGATGTATCAATGCCCGATTATACCAAACCCAATACCCGCACAGGTAGTGTTCGACATTTTACGGACCCAATGTCAGTTTCCGATAAACCGGATCGAAGATTCGAGTCGTTGCAGATGCCAGGAGCCTACGAAACCATATGTGAGGCCTTGATGCCTCGGGTTCCAGTAAACACGCCCCAGAATGGAGAACCAACCCCAGGTAGAATAGAGACGGTTGCCCCCTCGGTGACTCAAACGCCTTTGACATCTGGAGCAATACATCATCCATTAGTCAAGAAGCCCAATGCGACAATGAGTAAGTTGGCGGAAATACCATTTCATGGTCAGGCTAACCAGCAGCTACAGGCAAGGCAGATAGTGAGGCCATAACAGCCACCTTGTTGACCAACGCAGACTCCAGCTTGAGTGGTATTAAAGGCAGAAAGGAGAAGATGCAAGAATCCCCTCGTGGTGTGGAGCAGCCTATTATAGGTAATGAAAACGCAGCTGGCGCAGCGAGAAAAGTTAGTCAGCCATTTTCAATTGCCAATCACGGTACCAATAAACGACAACGAGTTGTTACTCCAGCAGCCTCCAAGGTGATTGACGATGAGGACGAACCAAGAAGCTCTCCCGCGTTCAGGAAAACCTCTGGAATAAGCAGCAAATCTGAGCCACCGCCACCACCACCTCACAGAGAGCCTCATAGGGAGGGTGACGTACGAATCCTTAGCGGAAATCAGAATATTCGCTAAATTCTACTTACTACGTATTGACTTAGGAAGTGTGAATCAATACAAGGACTCCCTTTACGTCATTTCTGGTTGGTGCTGGTTAACAGGAGGCATTCTTTTTCATCCCAATATAATTCATTAGATTACGAGTTTGAAATTAGGCAGTAGTGTCACGATATTAGTGGTTCACACAAGAGAGAAGGAATTGAGTTTATGGTTTTTTGATCATTAAATGTAGTGTACAAGTCTTACTCACAAGAAATCAAATATCCTTGTCTTGTGAGTGTCTGTCCAAGTTGGCGATTCTGGTCTGTCAACTTCAACCGTTGTGAAGCAGATTGTGGAATCACCAGGTGGAAGGATCTGGGGTATGATGTGAAAAAAGTGTAACAAACAAAAGACGCCTTGACGCAATGCCGCTCTTCCAACCCTAATTGAGGTATGTCGCATGTCGCCCTTCTGCAGTAACAGTAAAATACGATTGGGGGATCAAGCAGGAGAAGAAAGAGAAAGAAGAAAAGAAAAAGCAACAAGTAGTGACGCCCTTTGCGATGCAGCTCATAAAAACAGAAGTAAGCCGCCCCCATGTGTATGTACCGTTTGACGAACATGAAATTGACGGCATGAATGGATATCTCCCCCGGTTCAGTTCTTTCCCAGCCCTATATGTTGATTCCCCTACTTCTTTCTACTGCCAGCGCCTGAGGAGGTGATCTTGGATGTGGACATGAGGTCGCCGATATACTTTTGGAGGAATTTGTTGTTGTTGTCTAGTTTGTCGTGTTCTTCACGGACGGCCTCAATTCGGTTGAAGATTTCTAGAAGGGATTGTTGGAGTTTCTTTGCGTGTCTGGTGGGAGAATTGTTAGTATTGTTGAATATAGATACAGATCGGAAGGGGGCAGGCAAGGCAACTTACTCATCAAGGTGTGCTCTCGCGTCTCGGGACATTTGTTCGACATCTTGACTACTGCGTCTTGGAGACATGGTGCGCGCATCGTCCTCGTCGAATTCCTCCTCTCCATCTTCCATTTGGATACGTGAGTCCCGTGGGACGATAATGGTGCCGCTGGATTTTCGGGTGGACATCTTGGGGCGCTCAAGGGTTTCAGAGGAGGATGTGGTGGAGGTAAGTTCTTGGGGAATGGCGGCGGGGGAGCCTTGCTCAGAGATGGAGGAGGAGGATGTGGTGGTGTCGGTTGAGGTTGTGGATTCTAGGGACGCCATTTTTTTGGTCGGTGGTATTTGTATAAAGGGAAGGGAATTGTCGGTGGTGTTGCGGTATTAGGATTGGTTGTGTTCAAATTGACCTGAGATCTGTCGGATTGGGAGACTATAGATCGGAAGAAAGGTGAAGTGGTGAGGTTGAAGAGTTGTTAAGTTGGGTTGTTGCAAGTTTTCCCTTCCTCACTACGAGTCCTCGACAAGACTTGCTTGTGCCGATATAATTGTGTGGGGTTCCTTCGTCAGAATCGCTTTCACTTGACTCCTTCAGCGCAACGCTGGGTCAGAGAGACAGCACAGCACAGTACAGCGAAAAACTGGAGAGCGAGTGGGTATGACGTTATCTGGAGGTGGTGAATATAGCGCAGGTGTAGAACAGAAGGTTACACATTGGAGAGTGAGAACCTTTTAACAGTTTGGCTAGCGCAGGGGGGTAGGAGAGCAGGTTTGGTAGAGTTTTCACAAACACGAGGACAAGCGTTGAAGGAGAAAGGTGTGAGAGCAAGAGGCGGTCGGTCAAGTATTTCCAAGGTGTGAGTGAAGGTTTAAGATGGGGGTGCGCACTAGTTTTGCAGCCAAGTAGGTCAAGTAGTGTAGAAGTAGGTCCGGCTGGAATGGCGTGTGGACCCTGAAAGTCTTGCCTGCAAGTGCAGAAGCATCACCAGCACCAGGTCAAGCACCAGCAAGCAAGCAAAAAAAAAACATGACACCCTGACCCAAGACGACGTATTCCCTACAACCTTAGTACCCATCCCCCGTAATAGCACGCTGTGACTAGGTACCAAGACCTAGCGCGTAGGCCTAAAGCGTCACGACCCTTGATTTGCCATTAGTTAGCCATGGCTCTCCTGTCGAGTAATTCCCGTACTCATACTATACAGTATGTATAAGTACTGTACATGGAGTGGTATCCCATACAATTGGCCCGGGGTAAGTCTGCCTGCGCATCTCTGCCAAAGCTGCATAGGTAGTGGATGCGCATAGCGAATGATGACGGGAGGCCATGGAGGCCAGTAAATCACACGACTGAGCGGCAATCGGGGAATCAGACTGGCTGAGGGGCCACTCAGGGGTCAAGCGACACCTCCAACAACGGCCATCTGAGCACCTCGCTCCCAAAAAGGCTGATCAGCGCTTTACAAAACTTGAAGCACTCCACTACTGTTTATGCCTACAGCAGCTAGCGGGCAAACTGTTTACCGGCGGTTGGTGATAGTGTAGGTTCCGGTACGGTGCCGTATGCAAAGGCAATCGCCATCGCCCTCGCCATCGCCATCGCCGTACTGCGCGCTAGCAAGCTACCGAGCGAGCGTAAATCTTCGTGTGGCATAGTTGGTGTAGTACGAGTAGGCATGTAGAGTACGACGTACGTAGGTGCTAGGCAGCTAGGCAGCTAGGCATGTACAAGGAAGCAGACTACCGAGAAATGATGGCATACGCAATTTAGAGACTCGGGATATTTGGGATTTAAGCAGTGATCTATTGATCCCCAAACTCCCGCTGATGAACGAGGTCTATTTTCTGAATAAGGAGCTTCCGATAAAGGAAGGGGCATTTGCATTTGCCAAAGCAAACCCCTCTCTCCCTCTTCCCCTCCCAGCCTCTGATCGTCATAGGAGATGGCATAGCTTAGGGTTTGAGGGATACCAGTACGAACGGCGTAGGAACTGATAGCAGGATGGTTTTTTCTCCGCAGGCATCAAACTCTAAAACGGCGTCATCAGGTCTTGGTACTGGAGATTCAGGAGAGTTCGCTGATGGGCCGCGGGATCGGTGGGAGTTTTTCGAGTAGAAGCTTGGGCGTTGCGTTGCATTGCATCAGCCTCAACTTTTCTCAAGTGTCTAAAAAATCCCCAACATTCAGGAAGACGCCACCAAGAACGCCAGACGAGGATGGTGTTGGAGGGCGCAGCTGCAAGTACGGTAGAGCATGCAAGCACTCTATGCAAGTCTGCAAGTCTGTGAATCTGCCAGACCGGACCGGCAGAGAAATCGGGGAAATTCCAAGCATTCGTTGGTCCCCTAATTTTCGAACCATGTTCGGACCACGTCCTACCAGCGCTCCGCTGGCTCTCCGAGGGCCACTGCCGTGGGGGCCGGCCTCGCTACGCTCCGACACTCGCCGCCAGTTGTTGCGGGGGCATAAAGTCAGGCATTTGCATTCTGCAGACTGCAGTGCTGCAGACTGCAGTGCCCAGGTACCGTACGAGTACCTAGTGTTTACCGCTACATCTACAGTACAGTAATTCAAGGTCGCTAGTTCCTAGTGGACGTCTTAAGCTACCGAACCAAGACAGCCCGTTGGGTTTGATTCGGCGTCTGATGAAATCCGCTTTCTTAGCGCTGTGGTTGCCTCCAGTCGCCCGGGATTCGGCCATGTTACTCAGTACCTACTGGGTAGGTAGGTACTTCTACGAAGTACTAGAGTAATCTACCTATGGCATCTCGCGAACTCCACCGGGTTACGAGTACTCGACTCGACTTGACTTGGAAGATCAGAGTCTGCCATCCCCACCGGCAACCACATTTGGATCATTGATCACGCTCCTATTTAGTACAAGTAACTCCCAACTCTCGACTCCCAGCGCCTTGCCCAGCATCATCCTCGAACGATGGACGGATCTGCTGGTCCACGTGCTGGCGGTACGGAGTGCGCTACGCGATGCGGTTCTTGCCACTACTGTAGGCACAGCGCGTTTACCGAGAATTTCCACGGTGACTCGAGTATGGTATGGGTATGGCCAGAGGTGGAGAAGAAGTTGGTGGCAGAGGCAGTGACAGTGGCAGTGGCAGTGGTAATCAATGACAGCCGAGCTGAACTCCAAAGCATCACATCCAACCTCTGGGGTTTCGCTTTCTGGGGGGTCTTGTATTGTTGACGCTGGAAGGATGGTTGGATTCCTTCTGTCCTTAGGTAACAACCCTCACCTCACCTCACTCGGCAACCGTCGCACGGAGAACTTACCGAATCCATGATGACCTCACTCGCCGATCAGCCAAGCCATTGAAAAAGCCTTTCCCGTCCAGGACCCTGCATTTACAGTTGCACACCAAACCCCACCCCATCACACCTGCACCACTCACCCACTCACCCACACCCACACCTACACACCTAAACGTGAGGCAGGTTCGCCGCACGATCAACACGTTGTGTTGCCGTTTCAATCCACTTAGCGAGCAGAGGAAGGACTTCGGACACTCACCGTCCAATCAGACTTGATTCTTTGAAACCACGAGGTTGAAGCATGCAGGCGCCCACCAGGCCCCACCTCCACTGGTTACCGCAAGCTGCAGCGTGCTTTCTCAGAAAGAGGGGTCCAAATTTGTCCGACAAACGATACCTTCCATTGCATATGCCCAGCCTCTAACTCTCAACTCTCGAACATTACTTGCGGTAGCTGTTGCTTATTTTGCATGTTGGGTCGGGATCAATCATGCCCATGATATTGGACAAGATGGGTTGAATTTCCCACCATGGTTAAGATCCCCGGTACCGAGTACTCTTCAAGCAATAACCCTTCTCTTCCATTCAAATTTCCCCCTCGGAATGTCAAATTCCATATCATGGGACTTGAACATTCCGGTTTCATCACTTTGGAGAAACGAACAACATATAACTCTAACAAAACGTGACTAACGATCCTCCAGTCGCGTGGTATTCGAATCTCTCTGCATCATCCTATGCTATCATATCAGCGGCGGTATGTTGATGACATCTTACCGTTTTCGTCTTACTCACTCATGACGGAAGATTTCTGCACGATGAGCACGATCTTCCATCACCCCCCCTTATATAGGACACGGTTCCCTACCGAAGGTTGCACAGGGAAACCTCTCTCTGGATGGATGATCCACGAAGGTTGTCAATCAAAGTGCAGAGCCGCTTAACTAATAACACTCAGTCTCTTCGGTACACTGCCCAGTCATGAGAGGAGGAAATCTCGTTGTATTATCTTTTCGGTTATTCAAAAGACAATCTCCATCTCTCGCTAGTGGTCGGGTAGAGATGCATTCGAAAACGGATGGCTGCGTGGGGTGGAAGCTGCATCTTGCCAATCTCCAGCGGTGAACAAATCGCCATCAGCAGATTCAATCACGGCATTATTTCCAACTACAGCAAGTGCTGCTCTGCAGTACTGTAGGAACGTGGATGGATGGATGCCCAGCGACCCCGCCAGAATACGCCATCACATCCCAGCGAAGAGAGAAACCCTGTGGTTGATATCAAATTACGGATCCAACCACACAGCCTTACTCGTATACCCCCCTCAATGACTACGCTATGCCTTGGTAATCCATGCTCTCTTCGCCTCTCGGAAGTATTGGAGAAACCCACTTGATAGGCGGTTTTCAATGCTCAAGTAGTCGCTTTTCCAATTCACATACTGTAAGTACCGGGTATCGTCGAACATCTACAGTACTCCGTATATCCAAGTGGACCACAGTGGACGTATGTGAACGCAACAATAATGACGCATAAGAAAGCAAAGCGTAGAGGAAGGTCCGTGATTCCATGAATGACGATGATCTCCTCATGGATATCCAGCTGGAAAATTAAGGAAGGTTTTCATCCGATCCTTCATTCGAGGTTTCACTTACCAACGGTGCTTGGCAATTTCGTTTTCTGGAATTTGGTTTCTGTGTCTGTCACGAATAACCTTTTCTCGACATGGTCCAGCACTACTGGTACAGTACAGTAGGAACTCTGAGTATAATCCTACTTGGACCTACCTAGGAACTCGACTAAATAGTGAACGTTCTGATGAGGTAGACTGGTTTCGAATGAGTCTTGGAATATCAAAAGATATCGAGGAAATTCCTGGCCTGTCGATTCCTTTTTTACTGTTTCCACAAGTTATTTATGGTATGGAATGTTGTTATCTTGGTCCTCGTAAGCTATCAGTAACACCTTCCTAGTACAAAATCCCAAGACCACTAATTTTCCAAAAACCGCCCCCCAAGTCGTCCACTGTAGTCGGCATTTGCAAGGCCTACCAACCTCGCCGTATATTGCCGCATCCTGTCACTATTGCGTGCGTGCGTGCGTGCGTGCGTGCGTGCGGCATCTTTCTCCGTACTGTACATTACCAGTAATGATGATGAGTGCCTACTTGTACAGTGGGTGCATGGAACTTGGACCTCAAGGGTTATATTTGTACTACAGTAGGAATAAGCACTTTGCAAACGTCCTTCGAGACACATGGTAAATTTACAATAATGGACATCAAATCACATTACCAATCAACTTTCTCTTTCTGGTGCGCGATAGCGCCGCGCTACCGATTAGGTTTTCTGATAAAAGGCACTGGAAGGTTTGGGGATTCGTGGCTTTCGTCATTGGTGGTGTCCTTGGGGGGAATAAGCACTGTGAGTTTGTAAGGGGATGGGAGTGAGTGGGGTGGGTGGTGTGGGTGGTTCTGCCTTGGTGTAGTGTATTGTTTTGTAGTGCGATGTGATGTGATGGGGGAATTGGTTGGTTGTGTTTTATGGTATGGTATTCGTGTGGTATGTAAGTTAGTGAGAGATGAAGTTTCTTTTCTTTGGTCTCTTGTGCTGGTACTCGGGTACTGTAGCTTGAATAGAGAGGTAGTTTGGATGGGCAGATGGAGAGATGGGGAGATGGGATTTTGCGCGCGAACTAGGTGCACACCGTGTAGTAGGGTTGGGGTTGGGGGTGGGGTGTAGTTATTAGTACTAGACTGGAATGGATTGGTAAGTACAGTACGTCTAGTGGGTGTTATAACAGGGGGTTTACTTGTAAGTTGTAGGAGTTCTTCGCGCCGTGGTTGTGGTTGAGATGGTGCTAGGTGGGGTTTGATTTGTTTGGTTGGATTCATGTTTTACTTGAGCCTTGGGGAGAGTACTGGTACCTTGTGAGATTTGATCTTTGGGCGTAGTATACGTTGAATAGATGGGGAAGGTGAGAGATGGGGAAGATGAGAGGTGGGATTACCTACCTACTGATAGATAGGTAGGAATTTGTTGATGCAGTTATGCTTGGTTAGGGTAGAGAAGTCTATGAATACTGTAAAATACTGACTGTATGATTTGTGGTATGTGGGGAGGAACACATGCTTCCCTTCCTTTCTTTCCTTCCACTACTGCACTGTGGGACGGGGAGTGCGGGTTTTGGATGGTAGGGTTTTTTTTGGGCGGAAAGCTTGCTTGAGTCGTACATAGTTTATCCTTGGGGAATTGGGGATAAGTACGAGGAAGTTCTTTTATAGAGGAAGTACTAGGACCTGATGGTACTACTGTAGAGTGAGAAGGAGGAACTACTGTAGCAACTGTTGATTGTGAGAGGTAGGTAGGTTGGAGTGAGTGTTTGTACAAGTTGTGGATTTGAAATTGAAGTGGTAGGGGTAAGGGTGTATGAAGGTATGATCTAGGCTATTTTTGCCTGGTAAATTTACGTTGGGGGTTACCTTGTTATGATGTTTTGTACTTGATGGGGTATATGGAATAGTTTGTCGTTGGGTAATGTGCTGCGAAAAAAAAAAGAAAAGCTATATTAGGAAGAGTATGTTTTCAATACAGTAAAGGATGAAGGAAAATGGGAACTCAAATCAAATCCCTCGCACAAGAAAGTGTAGTGTGGTACAATATATAAATTCGTCTACTCTACAAACTGTAGAAATAACCCCAAAAAGTCGGGGAATAAGGGATATTCAATGGTCCGTTACCACGCTGAAATACTGTAATGGCATACTGTAAGAAAAGTCATGGTGACAGACATAGATGAGATGAGATGAACGACCCCCATAAAACACCCAACTGTCATGAATAGGAAGAACCTGGGAGAAATTTGCGGTCAAGTCATCGTGCTGTGCCGACTCTTACTTTTGCAGCAACTTCTCGAGTCGAGGTTAGAGACTCGAGTAAGAAGTATGGCTTATGGAGTATGTGGAGTGAAAGGATATTAGGCGAGTACACTCGTATTTGGCTTTTATTTTTAGCTGATCCCTACGAGCTATGAGGTGTAAGAGAGAGAGACTTTTGACATTACTCTGCTTTTGCAGAATACGTTTGTCTTGGAATTTTCTGGAACGAGTCGAATGAGTGTTTTTGGCTAGGTCAGCTGAGTGGAATAGTTGGTGGAAATGCTTGATTGTTTGAAATGGTTCGCATGAGGAGTGAGAGAGCCTTTCTTGAGTTGACGTTCTTTGGAGGAATGTGAGGTCTTATGTAGAGGTAATGTACTCTGTGTCAGTCGATGAAGGGTAAATAACTCAAGGTGGTCCTCCTCCTTTCTGGGCGACATACACTCCTTGCCCCCCTCTTTGAGGAATCCCAGGAAATGTGCGAGTGCTGCGCCGTAAATAGAGTATATAATTAGGGCTGTACAGAGGTGAGCAGAATCACGTACATGAGGTAAGACTCCTCATTGGGATGATAACGGCATCCATTACGAGAAAAGTGTTATCATTGGCGGATATTTCTGAAACAGGTGGTTGGATGTAATACAGGTAAGCGAGCCCAGAGGAAGCAGACGCACCGACTATTCTGTACTGATGACTGCTGTTCCATCATCACGATTATCGTACGCACATACGGGGTAAATTTTTGTTTTGAAACTTCTCTTCCTGATTTTCGTTCGCGAGGGAGATCTTGGTGCCTCCCTGCATATTAGGGGTTCAGGCTCATACCAGCTTGGTATCGGTAACGACGTAGCGAGGCGATTGCCTTCTTCCGGTGTCTTGTCCTTCATAGGTACAGCAGTATTGCGAGTCTTCAAATTCAATAATTCTCTCTTCATTATTGCCTTTCAATATTTCGAATTGATGTGTGAGTGAGTCAAACCAACCAGGCCTCACGCAGGCACGCGCGCCGAAAACAGAAAAGGTGGTGGCTTCAGCCTCACACAGCAATTTTCTATTCTCGGGGGTGGCACAGGGCACCTGCGCCAACCTTTGGGTCGATCCGCCCCAAAAGGTCAAGCTTCGCTTCCTTCCAGCAACCTCCCCCAATCCCAGAAGCTTCATTTTCAGCCCAAGCTGCGCTGCCTACGAACCCTCCAAAATAATAATAATAATCCAGTCTGCAACACCACGAAAAAATTCGGAGATACCTACCTACGCAAAAACGATTAATTGATATAATCACCTTTTCAGGCCCCTAATAATTCGAAATAATACTTGCTCCATCCTATGCACATTGCCATTGCGCAGCGACGAACAGATATGGACTCGATAACGCGCTTCCTCTTCCTCTTTGCGATCTTCAGCTTTTCGACGGCGCAGACTCCATCACCGACTCCAAGTGCGAGCGCAAATATCTATCCTGGGACCGCGAAATGGACGTACCACGGCTGTTACAATGAGACGACGGGGATCAATGGGACGGCGGGATTGCGTGCGCTCAGTGGAGAATCGACGGATGCGAGTGATCGCATGAGTGTACCCGTGTGTCTGGATATCTGCGAGGGAGGGAACTTTGCGTTTGCGGGTTTGGAATATCGAAGGTACATTACTCCTTCCCCCCTGAAAATTGTGTTTTCATGGTGAGCTTGTGCTAATTGGAATAGGGAGTGCTACTGCTCCAATTACCTCTCCGCCTTATCGACCAAGATCGACGATAAGATGTGCTCCCTCTCCTGTCAAGGAAACGATACGCAGATTTGTGGTGGGTCACTGGCGCTCTCGGTCTACCAGGCGAAAAGCTCCAAGGAGAGTGCGAGCACGAAGGGGGTGAGGGAGAGACCTGTGGGCTCGATATTAGCGCTTGGCATCGCTATTGGGGTTCTGCTTTGTCTGGCTTAATTGGGATGAATGAGGGGAGAGCGGATAATAGCATGGTGGTGGAGTTAATTGATGGCGAGGGAGATTGTATATTTCTGCCGAGGCGATGGCGTTTGTGGTGTTTTCATAACTTCATTGCTTCTTCTTTTCTTTCTTCTTCTTTTTTCGCGGGCTAGAGACTCGATGGCACGACTAGGGATGGGCTTGTATATAGTGATCTTGATGATTGGATGGCAAGGAGTTATTGCACGGAGCTTTCACCTTTTTTGGAATGCAGAATGCATGTTGCATTAGCAATGGATAGATAAAAGTCTGACGAGTCTGATGAGCTTTGGAGAGAGAAGCTTGGGGACTTGGATAGAGCGAGCATTAGAGAGAAACTCTTGGAAGAGGGGTACAGCTAGACATGAAGTTCGAATACCCAGTTCTTGTTTTTGTGCAAGAGGTTTCAAATTGATTTTCAAGACGCTTTTTTGATTGCGTTGGCGATGAAGTTGGAAAAGTTTTGAGGTGGAACCTCAAGGTGTTCTCCACTCAAATAGAACATGGCAACGGACATCATGAACATGATCGTAGCTGTGAATCTGCAACCAGGAACTGCTAGTTCTCAAGAGAGTAGGTGTAAGCTCTTCAAACTGCTCCACAGTATGCCAAAAGCCCCATTCTTGGTTGGATAATTTCATGCAGGCTCACAATTCAACAGACCCATGGTTCTTCCAACTGCAATTGAATGAATAAAAGAAGGGATTCACAAAAACGCAAAGAAAAAGGTGACTATTATGAATATCCAGTCTCGTTGAGGATGGGAAGATCGGAAGAAATCTGACATGTATGGAGAAATCCCATTAAATCGATATAAGAAAAGTAATTCTCAGTTATCAGGGTGCTGTAAGCCAAGCGGAAGGATGACTGGAGATAACTGTTTAAGCTGAGAAGCTTCTTCTTTCTTACTCTGTCAGTCAGGCTGCCTCTCGTTGTCTCGTTCATCACAACTGCTCCATCCCGGACAACCTCTTTACCTCACATACTCGCCCATACCGAAACCAACTAGCTAATCCTTCAGTTACTCAGCTCGGCTCGCGCCATGGAATGGAAAGAGAGAAGAAAAGAACTCTCAACCAATAAAGTAAAGTACTTACCATGATTCCACATACCTCTTAATACTGTAGTCATCAAGCTAAAAAGAAGAACCCAAAAAACAGAGTTCACTTTATCATCCGGGATCCTTGATTCCATAATACCCACAGAGGACATTATTCTAACCTATCAGTGATTCAGTATAGTTAAACTGACTTGTACGAGATCTTTCTAGAATAACATCATCATGAAAGGGTGATGTGGAATAATTCAAAGTCTCTTGTTACAGTCTATACCCCACCAAAGTATACACAGGCGAGAATGAACAAACAGCCTGATCACCTGGTAAGAGACACAACTTTTGCTGCTGCATTTTTCCGTAGGTGCAATTCCATTTATCCTAGGAATGCAGAAGTCTAGACAGGGAACGAGGGAGATTGTTACAAGACGTGGTTTAAGGGGTGTTTATTGTTTTGCTGACTTAAGCGAGGGCGGCTCTTGGGCTTACACTTCAGAGCAGGGAGTGTTAATGGTTCCAGGTTCGGTTTCTGGATAGCGGGGGAGGGAAGAGGATGGGTAAAAAATGTGAGCTGAATATGAAATGATCAAGGAGTTGGGATATCTGAGATAGGTAGTCATGATTTTATCGATAAAGCAAGGAAGATGGGCTTTCAATATTGCAGCGAGGGAGGGAGGGGTTGAACTTTCACGTCAAGAGAAGAGGCGTTTGGGAAACGAAAGTGGTAGATTGATTGGAAATATAAATTGATATTGAAGTAAAATATATATTCATTAAAAGTTGTGTGATATGACAGGCACCATCCATCCATCGAAGCCCATCCCTCGACGAGACAGATATGATAGCGACGAATGCATTAAACCAAAGTCCCGGGTATCTACAAAGGGCAAAATGAGCGCTTCTCACATCTTACCTCCGCGCTCAAACACCAATACACCCCCCTATTCCAACTCCAAAGCACCCAACCCCCTCTCCCTAACCGCCCCCTGCACCCTCTCTTTAATCCCCTCCACAGCCTCCGCCCACGAATCTCTCCCTTTGCCCTCTTTACTCTCCCCAACTAACCACCCCATCCACTTCACCACCCCAACAACCTTACTCAGATCCCTCTCCTCCCCCACAACCCTAACAAGATACCTCTCCATCGCCGCCACATCCTCCTCATGCGGTCCCTCGCTCTCAAACTCCTCATACCACTCCTTCAATGTATCCCGCAGCTCGGGAAGGGTACTCAACTGCTTCGTCGTAAACGTAGGTCTTGGAGGTCGTTTTGGGAGCCTGACTCTACGCTGGACCTGAGCTACTGTCTCTGCGGGTTTGGTAGCCCCACGTTTTATATGAAGAGAGGTTGAGAGATTCCCTCTTTTGGCGAGACGGAGACGTCTGTGTTCGGCTAGGATCTCTTCTTGCATCTCTGGCGGAAGAGCGGCGAGGAAAGCTGGGTCTGGCCCATCAGAGGTGTAGCCCTCTTCGTTGGCTGTTGTGTCTTTCTTGGACCCGGCGATGAAATTCGATTGTGTCAGGGTGGAATTGGAATACTCTTGTTTAGATTTTCGACCACGGAATAAGAGGCCTTTCTTTTTCGTGGGTGTGGTTTTCTTGGTGTTAGGGGGGAGGGTGCGTATTTTTCTGGGGGATTGAGGGAGGAGGGTTTGTGCTGCTGCTTCCTTTGGGGGAAGGTTGAGGGAGTAGGATGCCAAAACTTCTGCTTTTAGATCTTCTGGCAGGGACTCAAATACCTCGGGGTCGAACTGTGAGGGTAAAGGTGGATTCGAGGCTTCCCGAGTTGGAGTATGTGAGCGAGATCCTGGAGCTGGCGTCGGGCTATCTGACGACCGTTTCTTCTGATGCTGGGCCAAAAGCTTGGACCTGATGTCTTGTGGAAGTTCAGCTAGAACTTCTGGGTCTATTTGGGAAGGAATGATAAATTGAGTTCCAGTGATGTTGAGGACCTTTTTAGCACTCTCGTCTGCGGCATTGGCTCTTGCAATTGCAGCAGCAGGATGTATGGGAGTCGCTCTTGCTTTGAGTGGGCTGCTGTAGATTAGATCATCTCTTCTTGAAGAGCGGTTGATGGCTGCTGTGGGCTTCTGTGGAGTTGGAGAATCAATGGAATCATATGATCCACTCCTTGAGCTACTTAGTAATGGTCCAGGTTTTGGCTTTTTTGGCGTTACAGGATCATTGATAGGATCCTGCTTGCGAGGGGCAGGTAACCCAAAATTAATTCTTCTCTGACTTCCATCTGGAAGAGCATCGTTGGTAACTTTGACGCGATCAAGTTTAGTCATCTGGACGCCAAGGCCTCTAAGCTCACCAGGAGAAAAGCCATAACTTCGAAGAATAGATATCGCTTCTCGTCCGATGACCTCAGCTTTGATAGTTGCAACCCCAAGTACCACGCTCTTGTTATATGTATCGCATTTTCCGTGACCCAAATGTTTTGGTGGATCAAGGGGTGCATCTGCAGCTTTCTTCATAATCTTCACAGTCAGTTGTCTTCCTTTGACCTGTTGATCAACGAGTCTTCTTTGGAGTTCGACACAAAGATTCTGCACAAATTCTTCCGCTTCTGCTTGAGATATGAATCGAATGCCCCAGTTAACCTCGGCAGAGACGGATTTTCGAACAACTTGTTCGCCCACCTCCGTCCTATCAATTCCTCGCGAGTACTCGTAAATCTTCTCACCGGTCTTTGGACCGAGAGTAGTGACTAAACGCTCTTTCGTCAGTTGTCGGGCTTCCTTTACAAGCTTGACGCCAATTTCCTCAAGTTTTCCTCCAACGCTATGAGCAACCCCAGGCAAATCTCTCACACTGAGTTCACCCATAAAGTTGAGGATTTCTTCTGGCTTGATGTGATGCTGCCCAGCTGGCTTGGCTTTTCGCAAAGCGACTTTGGCCAGTAGTATGTTCCCACCTATTCCAACAGATACAGCACATCCGGTTTTCTGCTTGATCTTGTCGCGAAGATCTTTGGCTATCTCATCGGCTCTCTCCTGCTCTGCCCACATGCTGCCTTGATGGGCACCAAGACCCTCAGTACCACCAGAGGGAAGACACAAATTCGTCGCGTCTATCAACGCTTCATCCACACTCACGCTCTGTACCACCCCCCCAACATTTAAAACAGCCTCGTAGAACCCTTGACTTGCTTCTTCATATGCCGGAAAGTCGTACGGAAGAACTTTAATATCCGGACAAAGAGTCAAGGCATTCTTCATCCACATGCCATTTTTGACTCCGAATGCCCGAGCCGGATAATTACAACTCGCAATTTCTGATCCAGTTCCATTTCCATGGGCGACAACTGCCGGTTTGCCCACGTATTCTGGCGCATTTTTCAGTGAAACAGCACAGAAGAAGCTATCAAAATCAACATGCAGGATATATCGCCTGGCCCCTGGCTTTCTTTTGAGAATCCTTTTTTGAGACGCTGATCTTTCGCTCGCCATTTGCTGAAATCGTGATTTGAGGTCTGCTTTCCAAGTCGATAAGTGATGAAGACGAGATTCTGAATAGTATTGCTTAATGAATTCAGGGTTGGCAGTGGTTGATTTTCGGACGTGTGGATTCTCCAGCAATATGGCATTATGCTCCTCGGCTGTCATCACCTTAGCTTTTTTGGAAGGAGAATGGGGCTCGACGTCAAGTGAGCGCTTCCGAATTATATTGTCTGGCTGGTCGTCTAAGTTTCTATCTCTTGCATGGAGAAGTCCAAGAGTGTCCGGATAATCTGTCACAGGCTCTTCAGCGTTCAAGCAATCAAAGCCTGGCGCATTCCACTTCTCCTTGGAAAGATTTTCGGTGGATACAGCATTTTTCAGGGCATCCTCTAGTGAAGATGATAGCTCAAAGCTGGTTGAGGAGCTTTGAGTTGCTTTTTGATTCTTGTGTTGGTTGCCACTTGTCTCCTCAATACTCTGTCTCGTCTCGTCTTGAAAGCGGCTGTAGGAGAGATTCCCACCAGGCAAGGCAGGCTGCGTGCTCGGAAATTGCTCATTGTCGTCAATATCCTCTGCAACATTCTTGACTTGGCTAGTGTACCAACTGGTATTCGTCTGATCACGATAACTCCGTGACTGAGTTCCAGCGTGGCTAATAACTTTGCCACCATTGAACCCCAAAACCCGTTGCCCCACCCCTTCGTCAAGTACACGGAATGAATTCCAAGCAAGTAACTTCCCAGCTGCTATGCTATCGACGATCCAAGCAGGCTTCACAATACGGTACTTCCTAAACTCAACAGCCTTTTTCGGTGTCAGGTTTGACGCGATGATATGCGTGACTGTCGTCTTACCATCCAGGTATTGCATAAAAGCACCTCCATGGCTTACAATCATGTGATGAAGATCATTCAAGGACGGCTGAGTATAGCCATTTACATGGCAACAGACACCTTTGAAAATTTGAGGCTTGCCCGATGCAATAGAAGAGGAGCGTACGTCCGCGTCAAGATTCTGTAGTTTCAGCTTCTTTCGACGAAAGTAATCAGAGAAGCCTCCAAATTTTGAGCCCTCGTATTCTTCCCCCTCTTCGTCCTCAAACGTATGAGCCTCGATGCGTTTGAGAACCGACTTCGAGTTCTTCTCTAACTGGGTGCCCATTCCGGCGGTGGGGCAACGTCAGAACGTCAGAACGTCAGAAGCAACTGCTATGCATAATTTTATCGGTATGCTTCGTGACGCTACTGTATAAATAGCCACAGCCGAGTCAAGAGCTGGTTGATGAATGGGCGAGGGAAGGTTGATGTTGGGTGAGTGGTTCTCTACCCAGATCAAGGTTCTTTATCGCGTCGCGGTCATTCACGCGGTCACATGTTTTTTGTATCCCGAAGAAATCCCTGTCTTACCTATGAGGAAGAAGCTCACTTCGACGATTTTCACCAGGTAATCAATTCTTTTCATACCTAACATGAAAGCGTAAATATTTGGAAAAAACAAATCGAGTCGGCTTCATCATCTCTAACATTGCTAGCTACAAAAAAGTCGCTTTATCCCTTGTATTTTTAATATTACATTACGAGTAATAGAAGCCGCTCCAATTCATTTCCTCATTAATACGTTATCCCCATCACACTCGCTTCAGATATTACTCGCTTTAATTCGCGTCACTCTCAAGGGTGATGCAAGTCACCGGTTCGGTTCCCTCGTGTTGATCCTAGAGCCGTCTCCCATACTCCCCTTTTCTAAATACCTGCCTACCCCGCTCAGCTTTCGGCATCAACGAACTCATCAAGACTTTTGGTATCTGTATTCTCCCTAACTAATGATTGTGTTTTATCGTCATTCTTCTTGTTTTCTACCAAAGGGAGAGCCTTCTTGATGTCATCGTGAAAATCAATCAAAGAGCCTCGACTTCTGTCCGGGGATTTGCTGGTAGCCCGGAGCGTCCGTTCAAGCTCTTTTTGCTGCTGTCCAGGATTCTTTGTTTGTTCTTGGTGCAAATCTGATGGAATGGTAGACTTGGCAGTTTGGGACTGGATTGGGGCGCCATCATTCCGGCCAAAATTTATTAAATCGTCACTTCCTTGTGAAGGAGCAGGCGAAGCTTCGGGTATAGGTGCAGGTACAGCTGGAATTTTGGGTGGTAGGGTTTGTGAAGTTTCGGGACTGGTTATGGAGGCAATAGATGATGGACGATGATGTGACGGTATGGAATTCTTTCGTCTCTGACCCGGTAGAATAGGGGCGATTGCCAGGATCTGCTCCACTTGCTTTTCGGGGGTTTCTCCGTCACTGGAGATCAATTAGCATAGGCCTTCTGACAGTCTTGTCTTCAAAACTTACATATTGGCACTCAAGATCCAGTCCAAATCTTCTTCACCTTCCTCTGGGCCACCTGGACCACCTTTGACTTGCCGGAACAATCTTGGGTGCCAATCCACGCCTTCTTCTGCTCTTTTAGCAGCTTCGTCCCTCTGCATGTCTTCGATTTTTGTCTTCTCGTCGGTCGCAACTACATGATCCTGTTTCTTGACCGCCTGTGCTGTCTTATACCAGAGATTTTGTGACTCCCGTTCCTCTTGTTCCTCTAGTGGTCTGGTCAATGGTGGTGTGTGTCTCGACTTCGTGGCGTCAAACAGTAAGTCCTTTTTGCCGGTCTGGTAATACAGTCAGCACAGCATGAATGAGACTTTGAGCATCATTCCATACCTTCATATCCTTGATGAACATCTCACCTGTCCACATCCCAGAAAGTTCATAGAGTACTTCCCCGGTATGATCATTCTTTATTGTTCCTCCAATAGCATTATAGGTCCCGCCGAAATAACCTTTGGTTTTAAATTCCACATCTGCCGACAACCCCAGCTCAGGGCATCGCACAAAACTGTGGTCACCAAGCTCATATTTCATCTTCCCGAACAGTATGCCGCGAGCATACATATTTGGTTGAGAAATATGATAGCTCTCTCCCTTTGGTCCATGGCCTCGGTTCAAAAATCGCAGGATCGCGAGACCTTCCATCAAACTAGCTGCCGAATTTCCCAGAAATTTACTTCGCGGCTTAAGGCAACCATCGATTCGAATATGGTGTTGAGGGGCCATGTAGAAGTAGCTCGATTTGGGAGGGTGATGTGAGGTTTGTTCCGAGATATAGTAGCCTTTGTTGCCATCTGCAAAGTTCCAGTAACAGGTGTATGTTTCTCCCAAGATGGGATTTAATGGCTTCTTCACCCCTCTATATAAGCCAGTTAGCTATTTCCCAGGCTGCCACAGAGGGATGGGCCCTCACGGTGGCTTAATATGCCATCCACTCAGATAGAATTTGACCACGGACACAAATCTCTCGACCGGATCCTCAATCTGCGGCATGAGCAAAAGTGTCTCTGGATGTGCCATAAAGCTATGGTGCGTCAGCGATTTGCCCACTGAATACTGTTTCTCCCAACCATCCAAAGATATTCACCCACTTTGTGATTCTTTCCAACATGCTCCTAGGTTCCAATATGAAGGTCGGTAGAACCACTCGGCTGAGATCCGCACCAGGCCGCAACTGCCCGATGATATGTGAGAGAACTGCACTCCTATTAGCCATTTTGCTTCTTCCCATCTTTGTGCCTGTAGCGGCTCTCACCATTGCCTTGATCCTGTTCTACAACTTCGTCCTCTGCGCCGCTATTTAATCGTAGCTCATCCACTGAGGATCGGTTGGATCGGTTGCCTAAGAGGAAAGGTTCATCAGCAACTGATCATCCGTAATATCATTTATGTGGCTTTGCGCGGGGTGGTGGTGTTGAAGAATGATATATGAGGGTGGCATTGACTCACTTGCAGCGGAAGCCCGGCGATGGGAATGACCCAAGCTAACCATTTTCGCCGCTTGTGCTCTGTCCTCTATCTTCCTAAGTGCGTTAGGTAGGTATGCAGTACTCTGAAGGCAATGGTAAAAATGGCGAGGCTGTAGGGCCGTGTGGGTGGTGGGTGGTGGGCGCTTGTATAGCAGGAAGAGGGGCGACCTCAAAGAGGGGGTTTAGAGGAAGGGAAGTACCTAGGCAAAACACGAGAAGCAGAGGAGGGTACGAGACGCCCAAAATCGGACGCTGCGGACACGAGGGTCGTTGGGATAAATGACGCAAGGTGAAATTGGCAAGGATGGTCTGAGCCTGACAGCTGTACGGCTACTAGTACTTGGGAACGCTGAACAGAGGGAACTGTAGTGGTGTCGGTAAGTTCTTGGGATTTTGTTACCTGGATAAAACAAGTGCAGGTGGTAAACACATGGTTGGTGGGGTTCGAGCCCGCATGGCGAAGCAAACAAAAAGGCTCGGCTCTCTCGGGCATTCATTTACTGTACCTACAGGTAGACCATCTACAGCCTCAAAAGATAGGTATCATATATGAATACTTTTATATTGATCTCGTATGGATCTTCTACCAATCTATGGCGGTATATAAAGACCTCGCAATCCTTTATCCCTTCAGATATATATAGGTACCTGGGTATGCTCCACATATAACCCCTCTTCGGGTATCTGGACTGTGCTACTCAAGTCCCTCTCGGCTCATCGAGAGACAGATACTCACAAAGTGTAGCAAGCTTCTATGATAGACCATCTCGCTTGTCTTGGAATGATCTCGTGTCGGGGAAGAAACAGAACCGAGATCCAACAAAGGGAGAAGTAGTACGGAGTAGACCAGCTCTACTTACTGCCGCCTGTCAAGACTCCGGAAGATGCTCCGGGTTCCAAGGATACGAGCTCCACCTCACCCGACCTGGGACGCCCGCTGGAACACGTTCAAGGTCACGTGTGAATTCATTACCTCCACTGTAAGACGACAATTAGGTTGTAACTAATACTACACAAATGCTTGAAACACAGATCATCTCGATTCCAAGTCGGAAACAGAAGTCCCCTGGTACCTGTGTAGGTATAGATAGGATATTCATGAACCACACAATAGTGAATGATCGCATAGTGGTACGTCCTACCTACTACGTCATCGACGGTTTTGACGAGAGCTAGCAGGAGCTACCCCCGCCACCTGCATCATGATTAGTGCATAGCTGTCGCCAATGGTACCACGAATATGGAACACATAACAAACAAGGAACGTCAAAGTAAGGTGTAAGGTAGAGCTGCTCGCTTCGATCATATCAATTCTACTAAGTGATTTTTTCTCCCTGTTCTTCCTCTCAAGTTTCATCCTCGTCGTCTTTCATCCTTCTACTGCTGCTGCTACTGCTCTACCATTGAGTCCCCTCCGTTATCCTTGACGTATCTAGCGCTTCCGGTGACAGCGCCAGTGAAAGTGTCACTCCTGAGGGGCATCGCTAGAGCTAACTGATGTCGGAATAAACCTTCGAAGAAGCTCTAGACGCAGCTTACTGTCCCAAATTCTTGAACCTAGCATTCTACTACCCTGGTACCCAAACCATGTCTGCTCAGAATAAGACCGCTCCTGGTGGTCATTATTCCGGCAAAAATCCAATTCCGAATATCCAAAAATTCGTCGAGAGTCTGGACAAGGACAAGAAAGAGCGAGATACAACGATCAATGAACAAGCCAAGTCCAAACCCGTTCCATCCAGCGAGATTCGAGACCATAAAAATGGCCAACCAACTGGAGTGGAAGGCTCACGAAAGACCGTTACTGACCCAACCACTGGTCGAGAAGTCCAAATTGAAGACGTCAATGCCGATTTCATGAAGGCAGTAGAGAATCCCCAGGTAAGGTCTACCAAGTTCTCATACTAACAGGAGTAACCACTAACATGCTATTACTCAGCTTTCCGTGCCAAATGCCAATGTAGGCAAAGAGACACCAGTCAAAACAACGTCCGATCAGTCAGGTGCTGAATATAGCCGCAATCAAGATATCACCGCTCCACCAGACCCCGTTGAACCAAACAGCACAAGTGACGTGCCCATCCATGGCGAAAAGACGAACATCCTCTTCCACCCCACACCCTCCGTAAGCTATGAGCCTATGTACGAGTCTCTAGAGAAGAGTACATATGTATTATGTGGTGGGGTCTTGATATCAATTGTTGTGATCGGGAGAATGTTTGGAGGTGCACTACATGGATTAATACCTCTAGGGATGTGTATTTCCTCGGGAATTTACCTGTGGATGAAAGAGCTAGTACGAAAGGGACGAGATGTTGAATGGTCCAGCGAGAAAGAGCGTGGCCAAACTGTGAGAACTTCGAGTCTGAGTATATGACAGTGTTGAAATGTTGCTAATTTTTGAAGGCTACTGCAAATTTGATTCCAGAATCGGTCGAATGGATGAACACACTTCTAGGGGTCATGTGGGGACTCATCGACCCAGACATGTTTGCTTCGGTCGCAGATACACTTGAGGACGTCATGCAAGCTTCAGTTCCAGGAGTCATTGAGAATGTTCGTGTTGCCGAAATCAACCAAGGCAATAATCCTATCCGAATACTTAGCTTGCGTGCACTCCCAGACGGCCATGTCAAAGAAATGAAAGACGATATTCACAAACAAAATGAGAAGACGAAGGATCCCCAAGAACTGGCGGCAGACGAGGAGGGTGGGGACTACTACAACCTTGAATGTTCATTCGCCTATCATGCTCAACCATCAGGTGGTGGTGCTTCGGCTAAAGCGAAGAATATGCATATGCAGCTTGTCTTCTACTTGGGTGTAAAGGGGCTTTTTGGTGTTCCTCTACCAATCTTCGTCGAGTGAGTACCCCTTAATCGCTCTCTTGGTGGACACCAGCAGTGGCAGAAATTCCCTTAATCATATTCTACCCGCCCAGGGAAATTCTAGTGATTATTTCAAACATTTCATCGGGACACATTAACCTAAGATACGGGTTGCTAACCGAAATATCTTAGGCTTCAAGGACTCGTCGGAACCGTGCGAATTCGTCTACAAATGTCACCAGAGCCGCCTTTTTTGAAAGCTCTTACCTTTACTCTGATGGGTCTACCGAAAGTTCAAGCCGGTTGTATTCCGATGCTCGAGACTGGAATCAATATTCTCAACCTCCCTCTCATCTCCAACTTTGTGAATTATGCGATAGGAGCGGCTGCAAATGAGTATGTTGCACCGAAGTCCATGACCCTTGATATGGGTAAATTGCTGCAAGGTGACGATGTACAAAAGGACGTTGAAGCTCTTGGTGTCCTCTGGATCCGAATTCACAAAGCTACAGGCCTCAGTAAACAAGACGCTCGTGGAAGCGAGGGAGGTGGAAGTGATCCATACATTACAGTCAGTTTCTCGAAATACGGGAAGCCAATGTACTGTACTAGGGTTATTCAAGACGATCTCAATCCTGTGTGGGAAGAAACTTGTGCACTCTTGGTCACCCCTGATTTGATCAAAGCTGATGAGCAGCTTTCGATGGAATTGTGGGACTCTGATCGTTCGACCTCAGATGACGTTGTTGGAAAGGTAGAACTGTCTATGCAAAAGATGATTCAACATCCAGGCAAGATGTATCCTCAACTCTCGAAGCTTCGAGGCATGGATGCAGATAGTTCCATGCCAGGTGAGCTCCATTGGGAAGTTGGATTCTTTGGAAAGCCACAGTTCAGACCAGCTCTCAGAACACACGGTAAAGATGTCAATCTACCAGATCAGCTTAAGGATAAACCAGAACTCCAGGACGACAAAGGAACACTTGATAATGCAGAGGAGGACGCCGTTGTACACACGCCCCCGGATCCATTGTGGCCAAGTGGAGTGTGCAGTGTTATTGTACATCAAATCGTCAATCTTGAACTCCAAAGTATTAAGGGTAGCGAGGGTAAGCGTAAGGGCAGAGAATTCGAGCCTGCTCATGAGAGTGGAGAAAATAAGGAAGAAGAGAACAAGAAATTGCCTAGTAGTTACTGTACTATCCTGTTCAACGACGAACTAGTAAGACCACTTTACACTCATTATACGTGTGCTTTTGCTAAATTGACTACAGGTGTATCGAACGCGAACCAAGGTCGTCAGCAGCAAACCCATCTTCAGTGCTGGTACAGAACGGTTCATGCGAGATTGGCGCTCTGGTATCGTGACTGTCACAGTTCGAGATCAGCGCATGAGACAACATGACCCAATTCTGGGTGTTGTTCCTTTGAAGCTTTCTGACCTTTTACAGACAAGTTCGCAGGTGACCAGATGGTATCCCCTTGATGGTGGTATCGGGTTTGGCCGCATCAGAATTTCTCTCCTCTTCAGAAGCGTGGAGACCCGTTTACCGCCAACACAACTAGGGTGGGATGTAGGAACTTTCGAGTTTACCTCTGACAAAATCCTTGCCACCGGCTACAGCCAAAACGCCAAGCTCAAGATGAGAACGGGTGGTAGTTCTGGTAAGATTGGACGCGTACATTGCAAAAAGACAGACGAGGGAGATGGTGTTCTTTGGGACGTTGCTAAGGATGGAAACCCGCTTGTGCGTCTTCCAGTAAAGTATCGATATCGATCACCTGTTGTATTTGAGTTCCATACAGCTAGTAAGCGTAATGCTGATGCGTACGCTGTTGTCTGGCTGCACCACCTCGAGGACAACAAGGAAGAGGACATCAACATCCCGATTTGGAAGACAGATAAAGGCATGCGGTTAACACAGAATTATATCACCGAAGAAAACTTCCGCGATATCCCCGATCTCAAAATCGAAGAAATAGGCCGTCTTCAGTTTCGCGGTCGATTCAAAGCAGGAACCGATGCGGATCATTCTAACTTTGTTTCCGACAACGATTCTCGCGAGACTCAAGAAACATGGGAGGCATGCAACTCAGAAGGCGTGCGAGAGACTATTGTCACTAAAGAGCTTCCTCCTGCTGTACAAGAACTGCATGATCAGTCCCTTACTCAAGGTCGTGATGTCCTCGCTCAAGCGGATGAAGGGGAGAAGAAGAAATGGCTTTCGAAAGACGGAACCGATTGGAGTGGGGCTTTTGGGAAAGATCCAGCGGAGTATGCACAGCGTGGTGGTTCTTACAGACATCCCCAAGCTAACTCCTCTTCAAGCGCGACAGGAAGAGGTGAAAAGGGGCCAACTATAAACCAAAATATGTCTGAAGATGAAGATGAAGATGAGGATGACTACGACTCTGATTCTACTAGTTCGGGTAGTGATCTTGGTGTTCAAGATGCGTCTACTGCACCAGCGGCCGTGGCTGATCAGGGAGATGATGCGAATGGCAAGGCGGGACATACCAATAACCCTATCAAACAAGCCCAGGAGTATAACGAGAAAAAGAAGGGTCTTCATCGTAAGCAGAGGGGCCTTATGCAGTGGAAGCCTATGAGGAATCTGCAATTCGCTAAGAATGAGGCGAAGTTTGCGGTAAGGAGGACATTGAAGAAGAGAAGCTTGAATGGGAGGCAACCGGATGTTGAGACTGAGGCTTGAGGTTAAAGGTTTTGTGGTTGCTTCTCTTCTTCGCGTGGTTGTATTCTAGGTTTGGAGAGAATTGCCGAGTTTCTTTTCAGGGGTAAAATTTCATTGCGCGGATCCGCGCATCTTTTGCAGGGTTGCTTTCTAACCTGTTTCTTCTTCTTCTGGTGGCGCAAAGACTGAAGGGAGTGGGCGAAAATGGACTGGGACGATGTGTATTCTAGCTTAATACAAGCAAGGTTTTTGCTCTTCTGCTTCTTTCTTTCAATCTAGCAAGGCAGACAATTGCTATGATTAATCAAGCGACGGGTCTTAGGCGCCACACCTATTCACTCGCCCCCCCCCCCCCCCCCCCCCCCCC